TGCCATCTTAGGAAAATAAAAAGGTGAATTGTTTTAAAAATAGTGAAAAACTCTGTATAAAAACAAAAACACACTGGGAGAAGATATGTGAAACTTATAGCACAGAAAAAGGAGACTATCTCTGTAATATAAAAAGATCTCAAAAAATCAGGAAGAAAGAAAAACTTGAACAATTTGCAAACCAAACAGCTCACATATTTAGCAGGAAACACGCATCTTCACCCTCAATAGGAGAGAAGAACTCACATAATTAGCAGGAAACATTCATCTTCACCCTTGATAGGAGAGAAGAACTGCCCCATGAGCTTGCTGCAGTTTTAGGGTGTGTTTTGGAGTCTGGTAGGCTCATCATCCTATGGTTTCATTTCTTCAGAAGAAACAGCCCAAAGAAGCTTGATGTTTTTGTGAGGTTTCTTAGCCAGAATTGTCTATGCTAGTCCATTTGTTTAAGTTGTAGGTCTGTAAAGAACGTCTTCCTCGTTAAGTCTTAAAATTTTTTCTATTTTATTTGTTTTTTGATATTTAACACTTATGGTGGCTTTTTAAAATTGAGATATTCTTTTCATTACATCTTCTAACTGGTTGTGCTTGGGAAATATAAAAGCTATATATTTTGATTATTAGTTTTGAAACTTACTATATTTCTTCATTATTGATAGCACCTGTTGTGTTTTTCTTTTTAGTTGATTCGCTTGGATTTCCCAAGTATTCCATCTTATAATCTGAAAATAATCGTTGTTTTATCTACTTCTTTCTAACTTTTCTATTTCTCATTTCCATCTCCTCTAATTCCACTTGTGAATGGCTCCAGAACGACACTGTGTCATCATGGTGATGGCGACTCCTTCTGACTTACTGGAAGGGGCTGCTCATGTTTTCCAGGGATAGAATAAGCCTAGTTTTGTTAGGAAAGTATCCAGACTGTTGACTCCTGTTTGAGTGTGTTCATAAAAAATGGAGTTGACAGCACCGTGGCTCTTGCCTGTAATCTCAGCACTTTGGGACGCGGAGACGGCTGATCACCTGAGGTCAGGAGTTCAAGACCAGGCTGGCCAACATGGCAAAACCCTGTCTCTACTAAAAATACAAAACAAAATTAGCTGGGGGTGGTGGTGGGCACCTGTAGTCCCAGCTACATGGAAGGCTGAGGCAGGAGAATTGCTTGAGCCCAGGAGGCAAAGGTTGCAGTGAGCCGAGATCATGCCATTGCACTCCAGCCTAGGTGACAGAGCGAGACTCCATCTCAAAAAAAAATGGAGGTTGAATTTTGTCAGATGCCTCTTCAGGATGTATGATGATTATCTTATTTTTATTGTCAGACCAGTTAAGAGGATGAATGATAATGGATTTCCTAATACTGAACAAGCCTGAAGTTTCCCCCTGGTCTTTATCATGTCATTGTGTTACTAGGATTTGTGTAGCAAGAATTATAAATGAGATTGGACTTTTTTAAAACATATAATCTGAGATGTGTTTTGCTATTAGCATTAGGCTCAAATCATTCAAGTATTTGGACATTATTTTGCTGTCCTCTGAAACAATTTTAATACTATGAAACTGATTTTTAAAATATTTTTGAGGCCGGGCGCGGTGGCTCAAGCCTGTAATCCCAGCACTTCGGGAGGCCGAGGCGGGTGGATCACGAGGTCGAGAGATCGAGACCATCCTGGTCAACATGGTGAAACCCCGTCTCTACTAAAAATACAAAAATTAGCTGGGCATGGTGGCGCACGCCTGTAGTCCCAGCTACTAGGGAGGCTGAGGCAGGAGAATTGCTTGAACCCAGGGGGCGGAGGTTGCGGTGAGCCGAGATCGTGCCATTGCACTCCAGCCTGGGTAACAAGAGCGAAACCCCGTCTCAAAAAAAAAAATATATATATATATATACATATATTTTTGAATTTAATTGAAAAGAGTTATAGTCATTTATCTTTTCTTTCATTAGGATTTTTATGTGTGTTGTGCATGTGTATACACACTCACTCTACATACACATGCATGCGTACACACATGCACATGTATATAACCTGAGTGATCAAGAGTTTGAAATTCTCAAGCTAGCATGGATTTTCTTATTTGTAGTATAGAGCCAGGAAGTATTATCTATAGCAGGCGTCCCCAAACTACAGCCCGCGGGCCACATGCAGCCCCCTGAGGCCATTTATCCGGCCCCCCACCGCACTTCAGGAAGGGGCACCTCTTTCATTGGTGGTCAGTGAAAGGAGCACAGTATGTGGCGGCCCTCCAACAGTCTGAGGGACAGGGAACTGGCCCCCTGTGTAAAAAGTTTGGGGACGCCTGATCTATACGATTTCTCATAGTGGCATAAAAGAAGTTTTCTTTGTGGCATTATTGTTAACTTTTGGGAATGTTCTGTGGATACTTGATATAAATAGTATAATTTATAAATAGCCTAATTTCAGGGTACGGTCTCGAATTAAATCAATTGGATACCTTTTATTTATGTATAATCTATACATTTATAGTTTTGTCTGCTTGATCTGCAGTATACTGACAGGTGGGTTAATCTGTGTTTTTATATTTATATTTTTGTCCAATATACTTTAGCTTGCTAAATATTAACAGGTCATCAATAGGCACATGGATTATGTCTTTGTTTTAGGTTTATTAAGTCTAACATCATGATAAGATGTGCTTGTCAACCTTGGCAGTCAAGTTCCCCCTTCAACCTCAGGCACCCGGCAAACATTTATCTGCTTCTCATTACTCTAATTTTGCCTTTTGAGGAATTTTATGTAAGTGGATTTATGTAGTCGTTAGTGTCTGACTTCTGACATGAAGCAAAATGCTGTAAAGATGCACCGTGTTGTTGATGTATCAGGGTCCATTCCTTATTGCTGAGTCGTGTTCCATGGTGCAGGTAGAGCAGATTCTTTCCATCTGCTAAACAGATGATGGACATTGGGATTGTCTCAAGTCTGGGGTCATTATGAATAAAGCTCTTATGAACATCATAGAATACTTTATGGGGATGTGTATTGTTATTTCTCCTGGACAAATACCCAGGAATGAAATCTCTGGGCTAGAAGTTAAACTGCCAGGTTGATTTCCAAAGTGACCACACAGTTTTGCATTTCTAGCCACGGGATATGGGAGTTTCCAGGCTGCATGCCCTCATTCACACTGGATAGCATCAGTTCTTTTCATTTTAGCCAGTTAGAGGTTGTATGGCAACACCTCACTCTGTTTCTATTTGCTTTCCTTCGTTGTTAAAGATATTGAACATCTTTTCCTGTCCTTATTTGGTATCCATATATTTTCATTGATAAAATCAATGAAACTTTTAGTCCATTTTTTAATTGTGTTGTTTATCATCTTAGTGATTTGTAACAGTTCTCATCTGCATTTAAAGATTGATATGTAATAGATATACATGTTTTTTATATACATGTGATAATCTGATGCATTTGTATAATCAAATCAGGGGCATTGGGATATTCAGCACCTTGAATATTTATCTTTTCTTTACACTAAAAACATCCAAATTATTCTCTTTTAGCTACTTTGAAATGCATAATTGACCAATGTTAACTGTAGTCACCCGAATGATGGATCAGACACCTGGTCTTATTTTTTCCAAGTGTGCATTTGTACCCATTAATCAGTGTCTTACCTAGTTTTTAGACTTATCTTTGTGGTTTTTAGCAGTTTTATAATGATGTGCACATTATGTGACTCTCCTCATGTTCATTCTACCTGGAGTTCATAGTAATTCTTAACTCTGCTGTTCAATGTCTCTGTAAAGTTTTGGAGTATGCTCGGGCCTTCTGTCTTCATGTACAGCAACTGCCTGATTTTCTCTCCACTTTTTGATGAGAACCTTCACTACTCACTTTCTACACCTTCTTGCCTTATCCCATAAAGTCTCTTTCGGTCTTTCTAGTATTTTCAGTTCTTTCAGATTTCAGGCTGGACATATGATGCCTTCAGGTTGATGATTCTTTTTTCTGGTATGTCTAAATGACTGTTAAATCCATTGATTGTCTTCTTAGTTTATTTGTCTTTTCATTCTCACGTTTTTCATGTAATTCTCTCTTATGGTGTCAAATTTCTGCTGAAATTCTCTACTTTTCTTTTAATTCCTTGAATATATAAAGCACAGTTTCTTTACAATAAGTCCATTGTAAATGAGTAAATTTATTGTATTTTTTATAAGTTTAAAAGTTTAAATTTTTAAAGTGTAAATGCATGGAAAGAAATAGCATATAGTGCTTAAGGACACAAATATATGTAGTAAAAATGTAAAGAAATAGGTGGAATTCAAAACAGCAAACTCAGGGTGATGTTCCCTTTGAGTTAGGAGACAGTGGTGATCGGAAAGGGATTAGAAAGAAGGAAATAACTGTGTTTTACTTCTTGCTGGGTGAAGATAACAGGGGTCTTCGTTCTCCTTTTCCATGTCTTAAGAAGATATAATAAACAAAGGCAAATGCACGGGTGTGTATATGACGTAAGGCAGTGAAGAGTGAATAGCAGGACACATGGTGCCATGTGCACCTGCTCCCCTCGGGAGGGTTCGCTGTGGGGAGGCAGGGCTGAAGCAAGGAATCTACATGGGAGTTGGGGCTGAGCGGGCAGCTCACTGCGGGTGGGCAGAGGGGGAGTGCAAATGTTGGGTCAGCGAGTGTCTGAAAGGCAACAGAATCTCTGGTGAATTTGATAGAGAGCATGAGATGGAAGAATGAACGTTGGCTCTGAAGTCACCCTGAGGACCAAGGACATCCAGGGATGGAATTTCCATTTCCTGAAGAGGAACACTGAGAGAGGGGCAGGCTAAGTGAGGAGAAAGAGCTTGGATTTGAGCCCATGCGGGCTGAGGTGTTCCTTTCCGGATGGAGCTGTGAGGTGCACGGCTGGAGAGGGGAGTCTGGAGTTCAGGGAGGAGCTCGGGAATCCCAGATGGAGGTGGATTTTACCCTGCATATGAGACACAGGACCTCGACCTACCTTACAAAAACTAAGAAAACAAAATTGAAATATTCACTTAGTAAATATTTTACAATTTTATTTAGAGACAAGTCAAGCATGTCACCGTAAGTTTATTCGCCTGCTGGAAATGAACAAACGTAGCCCCATAAGGAAGAAAAGTTGAGACGTCATATTTTTAAATATATGGTGGTCAGACTTCTTGTAATCATGTTTCTATGATAAATGCATTTGTACAATTTTTGAAGGTATAAAGATTTCTAAGGATTCATAGTCCAGTTAACACTTACAACTCTAAACATTACTGAATACCTCCTATAAGCTGATTTTTTTTTCTCTAGTCACTTTGCAAATAGAAATGCATGAATTGACATTCATGGCACTACCCTCAAAATTCTTAAATTAAAATACAGCTACCATGTACATAGCTAGATCAAATGCTTAGTGATGCTTGAAAATGTTCACAAAAGAACTATGACCACATAAATTGTAGGTTAGTCTATGACACAACATATGTGATAAAGTTAGTAAAAGTATTTAAAGATATGTAGGTCAACTCTTTTTATATAGGAAAACAAAATATTTTACATATTGAATGGAAATTTTATAGAAGTTTTTTTTTTGTAAATGTATATTAAACATTGCTTAACTAGCAAATCCTGCCAGTGTAGAAATAATTTTTTTGGTAATTCTCAAAGAAGAAAGTAGTTTAAGCTTTAATTCATGGTTACATAGTTGGCTGGAAAAATGCCAGTTTGACCTCGAAGCTTTCCTTCCCACCAATCAAACTGTGAATCTGTTTTTGATATAACTGTGATTCTGTCTCCAGCTTGAAAATTCAAATCCCCAGGCTGCTGTCCTTCAAATGAATACAGTGCTGTCACTTCTATGGGTGGATTTAAATTGCCTGAAATGAGAAAAAAGTATTCACATATTTATGTTCTTTAGGGGAAAACTGGGCGTATGTGCTGGTAAGATAAAAATTAACCACTTAGTGCTTGGCATGCTGGTGTCCTGGAGGCTGGCAGAACCCATAGCACAGTCTGCAATTTGCATCACATTATTAGACTTATTTTTCTCTGCACATTATTGTATACCTAACTATGGATTTAGCACATGCTTCTGATTATAATTGTCAGAATTTTGAATAATCTATGAGATAATACAACATGTTTTTTTTTCCATTTTAATAAAGTAGTCATTGCTGTGGTCTGAATGTCTGTGTCCCCCTGAGATTCAAGTGCTGAAATCCTCAACCCCAAGGTGATGGTGTTGGAAGTGGAGTCTCTGGGGGTGATTAGGTTTCCCCCTCATGAATGGGATCAGTGTCCTTACAGACAGAGCCCAAAGGGACCTTCTGGCACCTTCCTCCTTGTGAGGGTGCAGCAAGATGGCACCATCTGTGAAGCAGAAACAGCCCTTGCCAGACACCTCGTCTTCTGACACCTTGAACCTAGAATCAGTCTCCAGAAGTGTGAGAAATAAAATTCCATTTTCTGTGAGCCACCCAGGCTATGGCATTTTGTTATAGTGCTGGAAGGGGCTAAGACACTCGTGACAGCCTCGTGGATGACAGATGCTGGACAAAGGCTGGTATGTGAGCTCATGGTCAAACCCTAGGAGATTGGACCTTAAAACCCAGCTCTTTACTCGCTGGGCTTGAAGACTGTAGCCCAGCGTGGTTTGCTGTTCCATCGGCAGACATTTCTTCTCCCTGGGCTTTGTGGCTGTTTACATTTCCGTGCTTAACTGATCCATTCTCTCAGTATCAGAGATGAAATTGGAATTAGCACAGGTAGAAGCATTTCTAGGTATGTTCCACAAGTATTTCACTGCAATGTGTATAACCATGTATTGTATGAGAACTGAGCAGTTAACATGAATAAAGGACATTAAATATTATAAACCATATAACATCATAAAGATAATAAAGCAGACAGTTTTTAAGCACTCAGCTATATGGAGTCTGATGCTTCTATGTTTCATAGAGTTCTGTGCATAAATTAGATGTTCAGACACACAGAAAACCTCAATAACCAGACTCTACAGCCAGGCCCTATTTGAACCCATAATACAACAACAATAATAATAATAATAATAATGTGAACTTGGTCCATCAGTAACAAATAAAAATAGTCAACACTTTACACCGACTAAAACACTGAATTTGTAGCTCACACAAGATGGTGCTACAGTTCTTTCGTTAAAGTATGTACCATCTAGTTGAGTTCTCCTCAGAAATAATCCTAATAATGAATGATACAATTAAATGAGAGAGAATACTGGTATAAATACTACCTTTTTCTATAATACAAAGAATTTCTGTATATTTTATTTTTATAATATGTAAATATATTAAATATGTTAAAAATGTTTTAATATTTTATATTAAATAAAATGTTTAATATAAATAAAATATTTACTATAAATAAAATATTTTAATAAAATATTTAAAATAAAATATTTTATTGTATTATTTTATATTGAATAATATAGGAATATATAGGAATATTATATACAATATATATAATATTAAATATTTTAATATTTACTGTATTTACTTTTAGTTTATCAATCTTAAGGAATAAGGTTAAAAGAATGTCACCAAAATAAAATTTTGACATAGTCTAGGAACAGTAGAAGCAAGTTAAAGTGAGTGCATGATGAAACCCCAGACTCTGAGGAGCAGTCGCTGCCGCGCGCTGTGCTGGGCGAGGAGCCCGCAGGCACCCACGCCTCGCCTCCCTGTCCTCAGAGCAGGATGCAAGCTAATGTCAAAGGAAACCCGCCCTGGAACGCTCCTGCTCCTGACTCCATTTGGCATATCCACATGTAAAGCTGCATCCTGACTAACCACAGCCGTGAACACCCTCCAGGAACTCCGTTCTCCTCCCTCGTCTCCCAGACACGTTGGATCGCGGGAAGAAGTGAATCCGCAGAGCGCTTGCGAACATCAGGGAGCGTTCTGGGGGCCACAGCCGTCGCGGCTACCATGCGTTTACACTGTCGCAGTCTCATTTATAAAATCAAAAACACATAGTAAGGACAAGAGTGGTGACAGCGGCGAGGGACGTGCATCTGGGGAGAGCCGCCGCGTGCTCTCAGGCACTGCGGCCAGCCGGCAGTCACCGGGGGCACCCACGGCGGGCGGCACCCACGGCGGGCGGCACCCACGGCGGGCGGCACCCACGGCGGGCGGCACCCACGGCGGGCGGCACCCACGGCGGGCGGCACTCACGGCGGCACCCACGGCGGGCGGCACCCACGGCGGGCGGCACTCACGGCGGGCGGCACCCACGGCGGGCGGCACCCACGGCGGGCGGCACCCACGGCGGGCGGCGCCCACGGCGGGCGGCACCCACGGCGGGCGGCACCCACGGCGGGCGGCACCCACGGCGGGCGGCACCCACGGCGGGCAGCGCTCGCTGCAATGAGCCCGCTATTCCTACCCCACACCACAGAAGTTGAAACTGAGCCTTGGAGATGTCAAGTGATTTGTCCAAGGTCAGGATCCAAGGAAGTGAGTCTCCAGGTTGTCCAAGACCCTCAACAACTTTGTGAATGTTAAACTCTGCTCAGCAGACCCAACTGACATTTCTCGGAGCATTTGCTTGTATGCGGCAAACGTTCCGGAAGGATGAGAGCCACCGGCATGGCTGGGTTATCCCAACTACACGAGTGACAGCGGTGCTGTGGCTCCGGGGAATCGCTGGTAACTGAACTGGCTCTAAGCGCTTCAGGAACATATTTTATGATGAATAATTAGAGAAATAAATATATTATGAACTAAGAAGGAGAGATCACAGACCTGGTTAGTCCCTGCCCTCACAGTCAGGTACTGTCTGACTTTCTCTGAACTGCAGATTCCAGATGAAATGAGGACAAAGCGGAGTGGGAGACCAGGGTAGGGGCAACGCCGCTGCAAGGCGAGGCCGCCACCGCAGGTCCGAGGGCCGCCAGCTGACATCTCCTTCCCGAGGCTAAGGTGTGTGTTGACTCTGTTCCTTGCGCCGAACCCCTCACCCAGTTCCTCCCACAATTCACCATAAATGCGTCTGCCTCCTGGGAGGAGGACAGGAGAGTCATGAGTTGAGCTGCTGTTGGAGAAACTCCATCCACCCGAAAACCACAGGAGCAAAGCTGGCAGAGCCAGTGGCCTATCTGCTTTCTGAGATAACTGTTCACTCAAGAGCCAGTGAGTGCTGTTTCCTGTTAATTTTTTTCTTTGAAAAACTCCAAAAGACTTAAATTTCCTCTTTAATGTAAATATTAGATATAATTTTCACGATGAAAAGTTCAATGCCCACAAAAGATTTCACTAAAAAAAGGTAAGCCAAGTGATGATTTCTTACATGAAGAAAGCCCTTCCTGGTTACCAGGAAGCAAACCCCACTGAGTTACTAAAAAGCTGGATGTTCACAGATGCCTTTCCTTCTACACACCATATGTCTTTAAGCTTTATAGTCGTGGTCTTAAAAATCTGAAGGATCTTTCAGGGAATTGGCTATTTCCTTTATAATATTCCAGTTTAGTTCAAATAGGGGTTATTTTTCCCAAACAGGAAGCAGAGTTAGATTACAGTCAGCATTGGTGATTGGCAGCTGCCCCGAGGCCCATGATTAGGAAGGCTGGCCTGTGGATGTCCCTGTTTCATTTCCAGTCCACTTTCTCATGGAGCCTGCATAAGGTGGCCCCCATGCAGCCAGCACACCTGGCCTGATCTGTTTCAGGAGAAAAGCCACAACCTTGGGAAGGTCACAACTAAGAGAACACAGCCTTTGCTAAGGACCCTATGAGGCACAAGGCAGCCCCTGCAACAAAGTGTTATCCAGCCTACGCTGCACGAAGAGCCCCGGTTGACAAACCCTGTCCCCGAGAGGTATGGGATGGGAAAGGGGAAGGGAAGAATGCTGACGTAGGAGGGTCCAGGCTTGTGATTACAAAATCCCTTCCAGAGTCCCTAGAGGGAAGATCGGGAAATTGGACATGCATTTGCAAGGCATGAGAGGCCCAAGAACCACGCCGCTGGACCTTCCAAAGGGCAAAGCCGAGGGCGGTGGGAGGACAGGATGGGCGAGTCACGCCTGACAGCCGTCTGTGGGGCCGAGACAGATGCAGGAGCTCGCTCGTGGACGACTGAGTGACCTGCTTCATCAGGCTCTTGATTTAAGGCTCGGGACCTGGGGCCATCTAACTGTGACTTTTCTCTGCAATGATGGTAAGCAGACATGAGGAAATCCTTGGTAACAGGTTAATGCCTTCTGAATACAGTAACATAAAATAAGTTTTACTTAAAAAGTGGACTGTAAATCTCCCGTTTTTTCTTCAAGAGCCTCTTTGGAGAATGCGCTAAAGGAATATTAACTCAGCTGTAACCGAGTTACAATGTACCTTGTCGTATCGTCAAATACAAACACAGATTCAACCAAACAACAGCCATGGATCACACAACTGGAAAATGAAAGTTCGGGACTCAGACTGGAGCCTATCTCCACAGCCCACTTAGAGTTTAGTTCTGTGTCATGAAACAGTTTTCCTTGGTGCCATTTATGAGAAGTTTCTGATGAAAGGAACTCTCGTTCCCAGTGTCCCACGACCAAGGCATTCCCTGGGGGATGATGGCCTCAGTTCTTTGCTGCCAGCTTCCCTCAGCTCTGTCTCTCTGTCGGGATGCCCCTCCCTTCCCAAGCACATGCAGCCAGTCAGCTCACCTTGCCAAGTTTAGCAACGCTTTAACAACTAGATACACAAATCCGTCTAATCTTGAGTCTTTAAAAGTAAGACACCGTGTAAGATAAAAATCTAGATGTTTTTCCACTGTCTTGGTGTAAACATTTATACCATAATCACTTTTGCTTCTAAAGGACCTGCATCCAAAGGACAAACTTTTGATTTCACTTTAACATGGCCTCTAACATGGCTGTGAACCACAAAGGGTGAAACACATTTTTAAAAACCTCTCAGAGCTTTCTCTGTATACTAAGACCACAGCACAGCACCTTCTGTGGGTGAGCCCCAGGCCATCACACCTGCTCTCCGTACAGGACTCTAGGAGCAGACACTCAGCCCCCTCAGAGGAGAGCCATCTGGAAAAAACGAGAGCGGGCTCCCAGGAGGAGAAGCCAGGGAGAAAAGAAAGGTCACCAACCCTAAATCCATCAGGAAAAGGTTGACCTCTTCGGGGGATGCTGCTTAAGAGACCTTTTCGACATATTTTTATCTGTATGATATAGATTTTAAAACTATGCTTGAGTATCTAATTTCTTGGTATTTAATTAACATGAAATGTTTAATTCTCTGACAGTTACATATCAAGCGGCATACAGCTTTGTGACTCCAATGACAAAAGTATTCATGTGAAAAAATAAACAGACTATATTTTGACTGTTTAACTTTGCCCTCAATTTGTGTCCTACTCACATTTGCAAATAATTGCTCAATTCCTTCCAGGAAAGTTAAAAGAATATTTAAGGAAGATAGGTTGAAGGACCATTTTTTTCTATGGTAAATCTTAACAAGTTTTATAAAGTATTTCCCAATAATAACGAAACATTTGAGCTTGAAACATAAAAGAAAAAAATTCTTAGAAATATAAAATGTATGGGGCTAAAACACAAAGAAAATGCAATTAGGATCAAATCATAATTCAAAGTTAGCAAATGCTATGAAACGTTTCATCTCCACTGTAAATTCAAGTGCTTCTAGCCAGTGTTGAGGAGCTCACGTGCCCCTCAGATGATCCCACAGCTCCCTGGCTCAGCCACGCTGAGCACACGCTCCCTACGCAGATAACACTGACCGCCAGCTTCCTACCACCCTCACTATCTGAAAGGCAAGTAAGAGAACCGAGCACAGCATTACCTAAATGAAGTACTTCTCAAAATAATGTGAATGTCCTAGAAGCTAAAGAAAAGGGCTGAACATTTCTCACAGATTTTCATAACCTATCAGATTGGTTAGGAAGTCTGCGATCACAAGATGAATATGAATCATTTATAACATATAGGGTTATTAATTTACCAACTCTGTCGTGATAGCCGGAAAGTTCAGGATACAGCTTGTATTCATTTCTGTTACCTGCAAAAAAAAAAAAAAAAAAAAAGAGGGGAATGGTGATTTTGAAAACATATTAGTTTATATTATATAAAATACCCAACATTGCCAAATCCTGCCCTTGCTGAGCAAATATTTTAAATCACTAAGTTGAAAGGATCACCACCATGTGATTGTGCTGTCCATCGGAAGGGTTGCCTGAATAAGCCCAGGAGATACAGTATGAGGCAGACGATAAATATCTGGTATCTGTATGACAACACAGAAGCCCACACACTATTCGCATTATAAATTCAGATGAAAAATTCTATTAGGTCCTTCTTCAATTGCATTGAAGGTGAAGAAACGGAAACCACTGACTGATGGAAGGATTTACTGTGCATAAGAGACATTCCCTAACTGCTTCCACATCCACGTCCACGTTTCACACTGGATTCCTGTTCTGACGCTTTAGGGCAGTGTAGTGCAGTGAGCAGTGGGATGATCTGGGGGCTTGCTTTTCTTCTTCAAGTGTACAAATAATGATTCTAACAGTATAGAAGATGAAGATCATACTCTGCACATCATGTTCTTAGCTGGACTGCTTTAAAAAGAACTTTCCAGAAGCTGGAGATCTGGGGTCTCTTAAGTGACCTGTGCCCACACACCCTTTTGTAGCCTCTGTGTACCCCTAAAGACAGGCATACACCAGTTCGAAGGCCATTGGCCTAAGAAACTTATGAAAAGAAGGATTTAGAAATAAACATTGGTGGGATAGGGAAAAGGATACAAATATTCCATGAGAATCTATTTTTAAAAACTGATTAGAAATATTTTTGGGCAAGTGACCAGCAGTAAGACAAGCAAAATACATGCAAATTAAGATTTCCTTAACTGTGAAAATAGGCACCAAGCAGAAATAGAAAAGTGCATCCTATTCGCCATAGCAAACCAAAATAGCAAAGTACTAGGGAACAAATTTAAAACAAAAGGCACAGAAACTATGAAATCTTATTGAAAGACAAAATCTCAACAAATGAAAAGCATGAAATAAAATTATCTCTCAAATTAATAAATGTATACATGTAATGTTACTGTAATTAGCATTGAAAAAATATAGAATGGATACAAGTACATAATACTATTTCAACTAGAACTGTATATTGGAGAGGAGGGAAAATTGGGAAAATGATCTCAAATTATATGAAGACTAAGTATCCAGTAAATGCAAAGATAAAAATATCACAGGAAAATCTAGGAAACTATGAATACACTCTTGTATAAGAGGTGGGAAGAGCTTAACCATGACCAAAGTATCCAAATCTATAAAAACTAAATGATAGACATATTTTTAGATAAAACTTAAAGCTTTCATATAGTAAAATTATGAAAAACAAGTTTAAAAGAAAAATGATAAATGTTCAAATATGCTGCAACCCAAGTGACCAACAAAATCTGTAATGTCTAAACATTTCCATAAATTGAGACAGCAATAAATATTCCAACAGGAAAAAATAGACCAATGAAGTGAAGAGACTTTTCAGATAAAATTAAATCCAAAACACCAGCAATTATACGAAGAGATGTTTAAATTCACTAATAGGAATAAATACAATGATGAACAAGGAGATGTGACGAGCCTTGACTCACAAAATCTTCTAGATGCTTCTACACTAATTGTAGTGAGGGAGGTATATGCTGAAGAATGTCATAATGGATGTTATAACTGAAAATGTACATAGTGGGGAATGTAAGTGGTGGAGAAGGTATACAGTGGGGAGTGCACGTGGTGGGAAATGTGTATAGTGGGAATGGCTATGGCGGGAAGCCGGTATAATGAGGACTTGGTGGGAATGTTATGGGGAGTGTACATATAGTGGGAGCATATATGGTTAGGATCACACATGGTGGGTATACATGTGGTGGAGAATTCATATAGTGGAGAATGCATATGTGGAGAGTATACATGGTGAGACATGCACATGGTGGGTGGTACACATGTTGGGGAATGCATATGGCAGGTCGTATACATGGTGGGGAATGCACAGAGTGGAAAATGCATATGGTGTATAGAGGGAAATGTGCACGGTAGGAATTGCCTGCGGTGGGAAGCATATGTAATGGGAACTACCATGGTGGGAATGTCATGGGGGAGCGTATATACAGTTATGATTGCACGTGCTGGGCAGTATACACAGTGCGGAATGCCTGTGGGGGGAATGCATATGGTGGTGAGTGTTATGGTGGAGAAATGGTTGATGAGACTCTTAAGTAGTAAAAACTTTTAAAAAGTAATCTGCTAAATCTGTTAAAACTTTAAAAATATATTCTTTGACCTATTATGTCCACTCCTGGCAACTATCTCAAAAAAATAAAAGTGCCAGTGTATATACATATTAATTTAGAAGTTTATCAATTGTAGCACTGTTTGGCAAGGAAAAAATCTGAAATAAACTTAATATCCATCAATAGGAGAGTGACTGAGTAAACTTGTACATCTGTGCCATGGAATATTAAATAATTATTAAAAAGAAGTAATTAGCACTATACCAGTTGACTTAGGGATTTATATGTGGAGTTGTTGAGCCAAACAAATTAACAAATAATGTAAATAAATATAAGAAGATGCAGTAAAGCACATATAAAATGTTAGCATTTTTATGAGACAAAATAAAAATATTCTGTCCATGTTTATATGTATGTTCGTACATGCCATGTGTAGGACTACACCAGGATGGAGACAAAGCATGAAAGTTCATACTTCATGTTGTGAACATGGGTTTCCTGAAATCGGGATAGAGGAGGGTATCTTGTAAGTTAAAATATAGGTGAAATGGGAAAAAGGAAGTAACACAACAAAGGAAAAGAAAAAAAAAATACTGCATCACAGACCATCCGTATGAACATATGCACATGTATAGAAAATTTTATGTGTATCTATGTAGGGCTGTGTAAATAAACTAAAAATACTTAGTTTTTAAATAAGGACCTTAAGAAAAGGTCAGATTTAACATGAAAGGTTAAAAGTCGACACTAGTTTTAAATTTTTGGTTTACTGGATTAAAAACTGATGTTCAAAGCTTAAGAGCTACAGCACATGAGAAGTGATGGCAATGCCGACCCTGTGAGGCCTGGGCGCGGGCGGGACGCAAACCATGACGGGCGGAGGAGTGTTCACGGTGTGTCGGGTGAGGCTGCGTCCGCAGCAATGTGACCAGGCTGCCCTGTGCGCCAGCAGGGACACGGCTGTGTCTGTGCAAAGTGGGGAGGGCACTGCCCGTCTGCCCAGGAAAGGGTCGATGGAAGACACCAGCCACGTGGGAAAGGCCCAGAAGCAGGCGCCGGCAAGGTGCCTGTGTTTAGAGAGCTCGCTCCAGGGGGCATATGGCAGTAACAACCTTTGCAGCTTTTCAACTGTTAACTGAAAGGAATTCCTTCAGGTAAGGTCCAGTCATTTTTAAATCCGCACTGACAAGGACTTGAGACTAAGAGGACCCGGATTTTTATACATGAGAGGATTTTATTTATGCATATGCAGGTATCCATTCTGAGTGAGAACATTTTATATATTTTAAAACATACATATGGGTCAAATGCTATGTAATCACTCAAATCTAAAATAAAAATAAATTCAGAGTTCACATCTCATCAGTCACTGGAAATATGAATCTCGGTAAATCAATCATCTGAACGTGAATCAGCAGTGGACCACCCCTCATCCCAAAAGAACAGGGGACAGACGCAGGTGAGGAGGCAGGTGGGTAACAAAGAACAAGCCTGGTTCCTGAGCATCTTCCTGGGAAAGAACACTTAGACCAGGAAAAGGCACAGCCAAGAATCGTATGAGGGACATGGGCTCAAAACTGGGGAAAACAAATACAGAAAATTAAGGAGGAGGCAGAGGATGCGCTTCCAGCCTTCTACAGAGCTTTACTCTTTACTCCCACAAAACTGACCACATGCCTTCTTCCACTAAGAGCAGTTATGTTTCTACACGTAACCTCTCTCCTCCTGTTCCGAAAGTTCTCTAAAGGCAAGTTCTAAGTTAAAGTCACCTTTGTGCACCCAAAGTCACAGCACAATGACTCTTGTACAACAGCAATCATCACATGCAAGTCCCCTACTTCAATATATTCCTATGTACTGGTAACCTCTATATACGAGAAACAGAAACACAAGAGCGATTCACACAAATGAATGACAGAAAGAAAGATAAAGACCAAAACCTGGTGCTTTATAAATTTCATCTAGTTTAAAAACCATCTTATGAAATCCTGAGCTCCAAAGAATATATGTCAAAACTGATATTCAGAATTATAAATGTGGGTATATAAGAAAAAAATAGGCTTATTTTGTTCTCATTTCAAATCAGGAGGACAATGGATTTTGGAGGAAATGACAACGAAAATAAATGAAAAAACCTTTAAAGATAAATATCTTTGTAGATTTAAGAAAGTATCTTATGAATAGGAACAGACGCTTTCACAAATTACAGCAATGAGCATTTGTCTTATGCATTTAGAAGAGGCTGAGCACTTTTCTCTCTTAAATGCCTTACTTCTTCTGTTTGACTTTAAAGTTTAACAGTGCATCTTGATTTCTTAACACTAACATTTAACAATCACTTAATTACAATTGTATTTGAATTGCAGCAAAAACATTTACTTTGAGAGCCAGCGTTCAGCTGGGCTGGTGCAGAAGACTGCTGCGGTCTTGACAATGGCTTCGGAGGTAGTTCTTTCGCCTGGAAGAAACAAAAAATAAATACACATAATTTTAAATTCTTGTTTTTACTAAGGTGCATATAACTCTTTTCTAATGAGTTTATGTAGCAAACTTTTATCCTATGGGCTTATTAATGAGGTACTCTTCAAGCTCACATGCACCCCTCCAGACGCCCGGTAATTGAACTGGATGACAAGACTTGGATGTGGACAGGTGTGCTCTTCTCATGCCTGAAGCTAACCTCCCCCAGGCACCTCTGACCATCTGGGCAAGGTCTAAGGGAGCTGCAGAGACGGGGCCGTAGTAACTGGCTCAGCAAGTGACTGGCAGAGGCAGTGGCAGACAAACTCCAGGGCTTCATTTTCATTCTATGAAACAGGCATCAAACCAACTCTGAAAGGTGCTATGGAAACTGATCAACAATGTGTGCAATTCCCATGGTGCCCTGAGACCTAATGTACAAAAGTGCCAGTATCTGTAACTATTATTCATGTTATTATTACTCTTGAGACAAGGTCTTGCTCTGTTGCCCAGGCTGAGTGCAGTGGTGTGATCTTGGCTCAGTGAAGCCTGATGGGCTCAAGTGATCCTCCTGCCTCAGCCTCCTGAGTAGCTGAGATTTTTGGCATGCTCCACCACTCTCAGCTAATGTTTTATGGCAGAGAGCGGGTTTCCCTATGTTGGCCAGGCTGGCCTCAAACTCCTGATCTCAAGTGAGCCACCTGCCTCAGCTTCCCAAATATTGTTTGTATAATTGATACAACAAAATTTCATTCTTGGAGAAATGCAATCGCAGAAGACAAATTATGTTTTTCCCTGAAATTTATATGAGGAAATGTCAAGGTAGCATGTCATTTTCACAAGAACTTTAAGTAAGTAGAACTACGAAGGAGGCTTAGTAGGTTCTTAGGAACCTGATATTGAGGACAGAATGTTCTACAGAAAGAGATTTCTGAGAATACGAGTGAAACATGAAACCCCCCCAGACGTACAGAAGGCTTCCTCTGCTGCCTTGCTGCTTTTCTCAGATTGATCCGTTGTCCTTCATTTTCATACTTTTCAGTAAAGGAATCAAGAATTTCATAAAGATCTTCGGCTTGAGCAGGCCGTGGTGTGTCTCCAAATAAAATGTCATACGCTCGGATATCTTGACAATAAAATCTAATAGGAAATAGAACATTAAAAACATTTTTAATATACACAAATCTTTTCTAGAGTTAAGCACAGCATGTGCACACATACACGGTGAATATATATAATCACTCATATGTAGCAGTTCATATAGACCGCTTTTTAAACACTAACTTTAAGCAATATCCCATGGTCAAGTCTTAAACTTACCCCAAAGTTCACCTCTACAGGTAACTACATAAATATCCTTATATGTACCCTTTATTAATATAAAAAGCATATCCACATTATCATATGAATACTTATACTTGCACATATATACATACACACACATTCATATATAAACACATAAAAATATACACACAAGCACATACATTTTTATACATTTTTACTTTTTTAGTTTCTTTAAAAATGGTGCCTATAACTGTGGCTTTGTAATTTCCTTAAAATATTTATCAAGATTAAATAAACATTTGCCTTACATGCCTAGAGGCCCTGCAATTCATTAAGCAACATATTTGTTTTAGTTTGTCCAGGGTTTACTTGAACTTCAGTGGGAAGGCCTGCCAACGGCCTAGAACCAGTAGTTTCTAAAAGCATTCTTTTGTTACACTTTTCTCAAATTAATAAAACCAGGAATTAATACTTCACTTTTGATTTTATAAGATGAATAGTTCTGCAAACCTTGTTTTCCCCCATCCTTCCTACTTCCTACCTCTTGTGGTTTATATTTAGCTTTATCCAATAGTGCTGCTGAATTCCTGAGTGACTCGTGGGGTAAACACTGGAAGCTTTGTCTCTGACGGTGGGGGGTCTGTCTGCGCACGTGGGGAATGTGAACAGCCAGCCCAGTGGTGTGACCTGATCAGGCTGGCAATCAGTGGAACTTCTGCAGGTTCTGGGAGAAGTCCTGGTGTCAGGACTTAATTTGCATCTTTGGGAAAATTAGCCAGATGCCAGTTTAAAGTAGAATTTTCCCTTTACCTCCTAGGACACTTCCAGATTCTTTTTTTAAGAAATCAAACTGTATTTTAAATTGGTCTCTATTCGATATGGAGAAAAGACAAAGGTGACACACAGCACGGACACTGACTGAGCCAGGAGTCGCGGCTGGCGTGCTGTCCAGAGACCTCTGAAAATCGCTGCAACCGGTGCTTCCAACTAAGAGCGTGAGTAACTTCTGCTCGCGTTTCTTAATCTTAAAATGTAAGTGAGAAGACAGGATTTACAACTGAATATACATGGTGATTACCATCATTATGGCAAAACAAAAAAATTACACAGAGGAAAATGTTGGAAGGCAGGAAAGGAAAACGCGAATTGTGTTCGTCCTTTAAGGGAATAGAATGTTTTTACTTGTTTTATTTTTTGTGCATGTTCTGCATTTTGTAGAGCATATATTACTTCTATATTTGATTTTTAAATGTAAGATACACACTTAAAATCACATTGTAAAAAGAATATATAAATGTACCCTGCAAATTGTATCAACTTTTGAAGTATTATTTTCTCGTCACACTTTAAATTAAAATTGCTTTAACTTGAACTGACTTTCTATTAGTTTCTTTCCTTTCAATCAAACAGCTCCCTTCTAAAGACACGCCTGCAAAGAGTCCTCTGGACTTGCAGTAGGTGAAGACAGCGGCTGAGCTTCTCAGGGCGACGTTTCCTTCCAAGTTCCTGCAGAGCACAAGATTTTGCATCACAAAGCGGCGAGCAGCTCTAAGCCTGAAGATAACCATTTAAATAGCATGCTTCTAGCGCAATTACCTTCTGTACCTTCTTCAGCTGTTTCTTTGTTTTACTTACTGTAGGCCTAAATTAGATGTTATAATGTGGTCTAGAGGAGAAACAGGCCAGGGGGAAGAACATATATAAAGGTATTACAGAAGGCTATGATAATAGAGAACTGTGTTGCAAAAGAATACAGTGCAGAGTGTGTAAATATATTTTTAAAAATTTGCAAATCTGTTATTCTCCAACTGGATCTTCCTCTCTTAAAACTGGAAAATACATCTCAAGAGTGCTAAAGAATTTGGATTCTTTTTGCATTGCATATTTTCATGGAACTCAGAAACATTTTTAGCTAATTTTACTGTGTAACTTCTATAAATAGTGTGGATATTGCACAATTAATCCTAGACTAGCACTTCATTAATAGAGAAGAAAAATACACTTTAAGTACTATAACCATGGCTCAAAGAAACACATCCATTTCCAATTTTTATGATTTACTTTGAAAAAAATCTTTTTCTTTCCTGATTGAAGCTGAACTTTTATCACAAAATCTGACTTCCTTTGGCTCCCTCAAAGCTTAAGGTGGATCTTGTGTTCAAGTGTGACAGATACAATGGCCTATGTTTCTAAAACATTTCATTCTTCTTGTGTGTTCTGGTTTCAGATTTTCTAGCTTATTTCACTGTCTGTGTTTTGTGAAGTTCCTATTTGTGATGACCTCGAATCCTCTGGGCAATATAAATCTGGGGATGCATAAATCTGCTCATTTTTTTTTTTTTTTTTTGAGACGGAGTTTCGCTCTTGTTACCCAGGCTGGAGTGCAATGGTGCGATCTTGGCTCACTGTAACCTCCGCCTCCTGGGTTCAGGCAATTCTCCTGCCTCAGCCTCCTGAGTAGCTGGGATTACAGGCACGCGCCACCATGCCCAGCTAATTTTTTGTATTTTAGTAGAGACGGGGTTTCACCATGTTGACCTGGATGGTCTCGATCTCTTGACCTCGTGATCCACCCGCCTCGGCCTCCCAAAGTGCTGGGATTACAGGCTTGAGCCACCGCGCCCGGCTAAATCTGCTCATTTTAACTCAATTTCCTATTAATGTAAAATAAAATATGCAGTTGTTAAATCTTTACTGTCTAACATCTATTCAAAGAACTCACCTTCCCAAGGGCCCCACAGCCACAGTCACATTCCCGCCGAGGGTGAGATTTCCGCCTTTCGCAAAAGCTTCTACAGCACGGTCATAATTCAGAATTATCACCAAGTCTGATACCTAAAATGTAGAAACCCACTGATATAAAGATGGTTAAGACTAAATATCATTTAAAATTTATCTTGACTAAAACTCAACTATACCATATGCAATGTGTAGCAAAATATCAATATAGACAGGAAAGAATGTCAAACGAAAGTCCTATTTTTATTTTGAGCTGATGAATTATAAAGTCAATATTGCCGCCGGTAATTACAGCAAACTGCAGTGAGCATTTACTGTGTGCCATGTGTATACTGTGAGCTATACGTGCATCATGTCCTTTAATCTTCCAAGCAGCCTGGTCATGTAGGTGGTGATTCCAGGGTTTGGTGGGGTTAGGTGAACTGTCAGTGCTAACAAATCAAACAAAGGTTGGAGGAAGGACTCCAACATGCTCTCTGATCTCATCAAACTAAACACTTTGTAAGAGCCAAGCCCGAGGAGCACGGCAGCAGGGTCTATGGGGCTGAAGGCCCTGGGAGGCTTTCTACACGTCCCTTCGGGCAAGGGGTGCCCCTACTAGGAAGCTGAACGTGGCCACTGCGCTGCAGGTCACAGAAGCTCAACATATCAGAAAGCAGAGTAGTTTCCATTAGGAATGCCTACTTCCATGACTTAATTTTTCTTTTTCTTTTTTTTTTTTTTTGAGATGGAGTTTTGCTCTTATTACCCAGGCTGGAGTACAGTGCTGTGACCACAGCTCACTGCAACCTCCGCCTCCCAGGTTCAAGTGTTTCTCCCACCTCAGCCTCCCGAGTAGCTGGGATGGCAGGCACCCACCACCACGCCTGGCGAATTTTTGTATTTTTAGTAGAGATGGGTTTCACGATGTTGGCCAGGCAGGTCTCGAACTCCTGATCTCAGGAGATCCACGCGCCTTAGCCTCCCAAAGTGCTGGATTACAGGTGTGAGCCACTATGCCCGACTGACTTAATTTTTCTCTACATAAAAGCAGAAACTACAATGAGACTCAGCTGAATGCTCAAGGCATGTCAACATGGAGAAAGGATTTGCTTCTCTAATTCATCACTGTAGTGGGGAAGCCCAAGGTTAGAACTGAAAAATAACGCGACCCATCAAATGAGAGGCAGCATGGGCCAGGGCACCCCGGGGTGTGGAGAACCAGCATCCATCTCAGCTTCTCTTCTCAGTAGCTGTGTACCCTGGGGGTATTTTAACCAGCCTTTGGGTCTCTGTGTTTAAAATTTGCTTACACCTCATTAAGGTGTACTACTTACACCTCATGAAACTATTGAGAGAGTCAATTAAAAATATTTTGGTGTGAACTCCACTACTCTCTTTTGTTCAACGGCTCCAGATCCCTGCAGGAAGCCTGTCTTGCGCCTTCTTGTAAGCCGTGGAAATAAATCGAGGGCCATTGCTGCTCACAGGCTCCCAGGCTGTCTGTGCAGCTCTTGACCTGGTTGTCAGATTAATTGGTAGTGTCACCAAAAAACACAGGATTATCTTGTTCTTATTTCACAAGAACTAAAGAGAGATCAGAGTTCATGACTGAGTCTCTCATCATCTTTGAAATAAAGACTCAAGGCCTGCCCCAGATGCTCACAGCACGCCCCAGCCTCACAAGGAGCCAGAGGGTGGTGGGAGAAGAGGGTGGCTCAGCACAGCCAGTAGTTTAGCAGCAGGATCTGTGGAGAGAAAACGGCCTTTCTGCAGGGAGGGCCCAGGACTGGGTGGGGGTGGGGAGAGGGGAAGGAGGGAGGTGAGAAGGAAGGCGAGGAAAGCCACAGTCCCTGATGAAAATGCACTTTCCACCAGAGGGCGAGATTTTGGAAAGCAGTGATTTGGTTGCATATAGTACAAAAATGCCATCATGATAAGCAAAACTAAAATACATTCCTTTTATACTAGGGATTTATACAGCAGTGAGTAAAGAAGATTAAAAAAAGATGAGAGAAGAGTTAGAAATACTTCCTCCTAAAAAGGCTGAGGGAATTTAAAACCATGACAAGGGAGCAAATTTACACAGGGTAGCTAGCTTAGGAAGAAATTGAAATTTGAGAAGAAAATGAGTTGAGCGTACCCGGAAATTTGATTTCTAGTCCCTTACAAATAAAAAAACGGATTGGAGATGAGCATCAGCCCTGAGAGGATCACCGTGAAGGAGACCTCTGTGGACGTGCACCTCCTGGCGTGCAATGTCCACGCCGTCCGACAGATGCCAGAATCCCAGGAGCAACGTTACACACTTAGGTAACGTGAAGCTCTTCTTTACTTATAGAATTGGAAGGCATTTGAGTAACCTACATTACAGAAGAGGATTCTGCCACAAATGGTGATGCCCTGGCCAGGTGATTTCGATGCCCCCTGAAGGAAGACGGTGGCTTTGCCATGAGCTGTCCATAAACTGCCAATGACAGTTGGCCGGGGGTTATGCAGAAGTGCATGAGACAGAAGCAGATAAAATGGCGAATGAGAGAAGCCCTACTCCTGATGAAAGAAAGGAAAGACAGTGGGAACCACCAGATAGCTTTAGTTAGACATTCATCAAGCAAAGAAAGGAAACCATTTCCCTAGGTGTCAATGGTAACAATAAGAACACCAGGAAACCTCTGTTTTCACAGGCGGCGCCTCGGCTGGGCTGTCTCCGGAGGCTATGGCAGTTGTATGGTTATGCACAGCCCACTCACCTCAATTCCTATTTCAAATCCCCCACCAAGGCCGGCTATCCCAATGGCTGAGGGTGCAGACCATGCTAATAAAAACAGAAAGACAGAAAAGTTACCCCAACATTAAAACACCTCAACATGTAAATATAGGAAGGAAAAATGCTAAAATCTAAAGATGTTTCTATTTAAAATAGTGAGATTTGGTATTTCCCACTATTTTAAAGTGTTCTTCAAAAAGAATATGCAATTTTCAAATAGTTAAAAATATTTGAAAAGGATTAGATATTCATTCTGAGTCTCGCAGCCTCACGAGCCCACCTCCTCTAATCTCTCTCTACCAACACGCTTAATACCAAACCACTGGTTCTCTAACCATTAACCGTACATAGCACTTGGTGACTTCAACTGTCAACATTTTTAAGCAACTTAGCTGTAGCTCTAGTCTTCAGCTAGAATTTTGCCATAGATTTAAGCGATCAGAAGGATTCAATAGAGTTTATTGTCTAACAGTAACATGATAATTGTTTCCATTGTAAATTTCTGAAGGCAAAACTGTTTTAACACCTCTAATGCTTAAGCACAAGAAATAGGTACAATTCAAGGTTATTAAAATTCTAACAAGATAAATCACATTTAGAAACTAAGTACAGTAATTCCATTTGCCATGATATGGCACATTTTAGGATTACTATATGCTTATTTTTCTTCATATAGAAACAGTAATGTTAAACAAGTCTAGAAAAATGTTTTTTTTCCATCTGGTGGGGGATAGTCTGGCCAAAGCACTTTTTGAAAATTGTTGCTGCCATGCATGCTAGATAATAGAATATTGCTGGAATACTTCCAGAACTATCCCATCCAGGCTTAGAGAAGTTTGGGTTACAGAAATTCGTGTCTGATAAACCCAAAGTTATTTTTTGTTCCCTGTGTTAGGAACTGTCCCTGTGTTAAGATGCCTGGTCTTGGCCGGGATCCTGGGGGAACGTGTCGTGCCTTATTTGGACAGTTTTTAAATTACTCTCAGTAGAGTCAGCAGCTGCAGCTCAGGAAGAAGGGAGAGAATTGTGGGTTTTGAAACCAGTAGGAAGGTTGCCTGGGCTCTGAGAGGAGCCCAGGGCTTGGTACTGACCGTCCCTCCCTTCAGTCTGCAAGTCATCTGGTCAATGGAGCAGCTGGGGACACCTGAGACACTTGGGGACTTTCTCGTAGACTTTGAGTCCCATTTGACAATGGGACCCCTTGAACTGAGCCTCTATTTCATTTGGTTTTACTGCCGAGATGTCTGCTCATGGAAATTTGGATAATGCTTGAAAAAAGATAATTGTGTTCTTATTTTCAAAGGTACACACAGCTATAAAAATGGACCCCCATATTAAGGAAGAGATTCTTGTTGACTGTGGGGCAAACTTGGTAAGAAATGGTGAATCCTGGTGACTGATATTTAAAGGCTGTGTTTCACAAACATGTATTTTCTATATTTATTCTAAGTGTCCTATGCTCGCTCAAAATATAATAAAGTTATCTATGCTGAAAAACTGCTACCGATAGAAAAATGTGTTCACTGAACAGCAAATGTTAAATTGGTATAAAGAGCATTTTGTTGGTTTTGACACCCCTATGTCCACTTTAAATATTATTATAAATATTGGTACTTGGGATTCATAACAAATATTTTGATTTCAACTCTAAAGAATCAAGTAGTATATTTCAGCCCAAAAGTAAAACTAGATTATACTGGCTCTTGATACAATTCTGCCTTGGGGAAAATTCTTCCAATGTCATGGTTTCTATAATCTACCACAGAAACAAAGAAGTTCACATGTGGCCCCTTATTTTCATATCAATTTCCATAAAAAAAAAGAAAGAAAGCAGCCATACCATGAAGTTGAGGGATAAGAATTCATATTAAACAAAAGAAATGCATATACTGCCATGTTTAAATATTTGCTCCGTGGAAGAATCACAAAAGGCATGCAAAACAAAATTGGGTCCACTGCCCAGGCTTGTCTAATATTCTGAGGACAGAGAGAGCCAGACAGGCGGTTCCCGCGCCTGTTCGTGACACCAAACTGCGCGTTCGGTGGAGTAGCCTCATTTCGCAGGTGTCCGCTGCTGTGCGGGAAACCTGTCCTGCTCGCTGTGCAATGTGTGCATACTGCAAACAGACCGAAGAAAGAACGAAGACTCTCTGCCCCGGTGAGCAGATGCCAACTTACTTCCATCTGGAAGGCGTGCCAGCACAATCCCACTGCCTCCTCTGGCGGTCACCAGGAACCCGGCTTTGATCACAGACAGAACTGCGAGGCCTTTAGCCTTTGCAATCACGTGAGCTGTTAACGTGGAAAACAGTGGAAGGTAAGCGTTTTTATCCAGGTGCCGGGATAGACGAGCCCGTGTTACACAGAGTCAGCGTGCACAGGGCTCAGCTCAGGGCACACAGGAGCAATGAACAAAAGCCAGTCGCTTAACAGACGGGCACAAGGCCTCTCTATTCCCACGCGTGTTTTTTGTGTTTGCTATTTTTGCAGTGCTAAACACAACATCTTAAATATCCTCAAATCCTGCAAAATATTTGCACTGCTAATAGATATCAATAAAATATCTTTCAAATATCAAATTTATTAGGCAAATTATTTCATAAATAAATTAGATAAATTAGATTATTGAAAGATATTTTATTGTTATTTATTAGCAGGACAAATATTTTGGCAATTTCAATTAATTTAGAATATAGTATACAATATAAAAGATAAAAGTTACTATTTTCAAAGAAATTAAGATCCATATAGTATTAAGGAAAAACTTTAAAAATTACCAAAAGGCCACATGAATTCGAACTTTGATCTTAAAGCCATCTAGCTAAATTAACCTTGTATTAATATAAAAATTTGGATTCAAAAACAGAAAAATAATTTTTCAATGTTAAAACATTTTTAACAGTATAAAATGATCTGCTATAGCATTCGAGTGCCACTTAACTCCTAGTACACTGATAATATGTTCAATTAAAAAATATCAGTTTATTCACATTTCAGAGACGTTCATTACATAAATGAGGGTTATTAGTATATGTATCCACTGAATATAGTGCCACACCATTCTGTGAATCTACAACACAATAATACCTCTTTCAAACTAACGAGGGAAGCCTAGCATATAACTTTAAGGTAGTTTAATTTATTATTATTTGTATCAAATATTCCGCCAAGAAAGTGAAGCCAGACATGGTGCTCTAGTACACACAGCAAAGGTTTTGCAGATGCCCCAAGGGGACACCAAAATTCTCACATAATTATGCCACCATTTCAAAATTTAAATTAAGAACAGACCTTTGGAAATAACTGATTCAAGACCATGAAGTTCGCAGGCGGAACATGTGTGGAGCTGTTCTTAGTAAGAAAGTTATGGAGAACAAGGTTGCATCCTGGATGGCTGGCTATTAAGTGTACTTTCGTATTTTAAAAGGTTGTAGTTATACTCCAATAAGACTGAGAGCTGTTCATACATCGTGCAGGTTTGTATTTACAGCCACCTGTTGGCAGAATGTCTTCCCCACATTCTGTTTTCAATGTTCTAGAGTTGCTATTGTTCCTATTGAGAATTAGATATTAACAAAAACAGGTTTTAAAATGAATATATTCCACATGTCAACTATATTTTTATAGATTTCTACTCAGATTCAGGGAACTGAAATACTAATAATCCCTCAATAATCTGCCAGTTAGCTTTTGATTTATAACATAGAATGTTAACAATTATAGACTTAATTGTTAAATTAAGCTTCACTTCTCTCTCTGGGAGCCAAACACACCACTGGAAGGTCTAGAGACCTGGGTGTCTCGTTTAAGTGCTTTGTAGATGCAGTTGTTTACCCTGTGATACAGCATCTTTGTTTTAATGTAAACATAAAGCCCCATCAGACTCCCCGGTGAGAGAAGGGAGCCTGTCTCTCTGCTGGCTGTGGAACTCTCCTCATTGCCACACCCACACCTCAGGGCAATCTCTTACGCTACCACACAAACAGAATTCCATTTTCTGAGCTTCACCCACTGAGAGTGACTCCTTCAGAATACTGATACTGAACATCTATTGTCGAGTTTTCTTTCAGCTCTAAAGCAGTGCTTCTGAAACTCGTGTGTGTGTGTGTGCCTCACTGGGACCGTGTGAGCAGTGCAGACAGATCTGTGACATCTGAGCAGACTGCTTAGGAGCTCCCAGGGTCTACCAAAGTGCGGGTTCAGACGGCACCTGGAATGGCAAGGCTCTACCAAGCACTGTTTTCTCCAGACCGGAGAAGTCACTGGGCCAGTACAACAGTGATTAATGTCATGATTCACATTATTAAAACAGTAACGAGTTTTTAAAACATTATTTAAAGCTCTATTAAATAACTTCAGCTATCTGGCTTAGAAAAATTAAACTTAGCTCTTTAATGCAGGACTCAGAGTCATGCACTGTGATTAACAAAGCGGGAGGCTGGTGTAAAACACTGTCCAGGCTGACTGGCATGAGACAAGCATGCCGTGAACACCCTCTGGAAGCAACGAGAAGTGGTGATGAACAGGCTACGGTTTTCAAAGATGCCCCTCTGGACCAGAGCTTATGTGGTCACTAGTCAGAGAATTACTAGTCATAAGAATGACACAAAAAACCACATGTAAAACATGCATTCCTGGACACACTGCACTAAAAGTCTGATGCAGCAGGTTTGGAGCAAAGTGTAAGAATTGTGTTTCTACGGCCTGGGGATACCGATGCACATCTGTGTTGGGAATTGCTGGTTAATGTCTTCTTAAACCACTAGAGAATGTAAATGTCTCATGTGCAAGGAGAAAACACAAAATTAAAATTTATGTGTGAGATTAGCTGGTGAGTTTGCGCGGTTAGCTTGCAGAGTTCTTAGCGCGCGATGCAAAGGACAGGCGAGGCTGCAGAGGGCTGAAGTGGAGCAGGAGCAATTGGTGCTTAGGGTGCCGGAACCTGGGGTGGGAGGCAGGAGGAAAAGCCTATGTAAAAGGAGAGACGGGGAGGGAAGACGCCTGGCTGGTTTGCCTCACCTGCAGCTGGCCCTGTCCAGACCCCTTGCACCTGGAGTAGCAGGGCTCTGTGAGGACTATTTCCTCATGATGGGAGAAGTGGCAGGACTGCGACAATAATTAACATCATTATTCTATCACTATTAAGGTTCTTATATCAATAACAAATTTTCCAAACAGAGCTGAGTCACGTGCTGTGATTACGAGGAAGGCTGGTCTGTAACATTGCCAAAGTGACTTGGCATTCGGATCTCCTTTGCATGAAATGAGTTGTGCTGTGAACACCCTTTGGAAATAACTGGAAGTGGTGATGAACAGGTCGTGGTTTCCAGAGCATCCCTGGATGAGCCACGAGAAAGACGCTGGTGGAACCACCTGCTGGCAGTGACGGAGGCTTCTGCCTGAAATGGAGGGTCGAAGAGTGCAAAAAACAACTTAGGAAAAAACATTTGGAGACAAACAGCACTCATCCTATTTACCTACCAGGAATGATCTTGTCAGGTCCATTTCTGGAAGTTATTTCTGTGAATTCTCTTAATATTTTGGCAGCCTTTTTTGCTTCTGATTTCAAATTGGAAGGTATAGGGTTATTCACTGAAAGATGAAAAAAACGTATTTTAATGAAAAATTCTACTAAACAGAAGTGAGAAATTGATTGTAATTTCATTTTTCTCATACACAACTGTCAGAGGTGTTCAAACCAGAGGGACTCCATCTTGAACAGGAGCTGGGCGAAGCCAGGCTGACACCCACGGGGCTGCATTCCCAGGAGCTGGGCATTCCAAGTCACAGGCCGAGATGCGAGGTCCGCACAAGATACAGGCCGTGAAGACGTTGCTGATGAAACAGCGTGCGGCAAAGGAGCCGCAGCCAAGCCCACCGAAACCAGCATGGCAACGTGGTCACCCTCACTGCTCATTTTACATTAATTCTCACGTGTTAGCTTGCTAAAAGACACTCCCACCAGTGCCATGACGGCTTCCGAATGCCACGGCAGCGTCAGGAAGTTTCCCTGGATAGTGTGAAAAGCGGAGGAAGCCTAAGTTCTGGGAATCGCCCACCCCTTTTCCAGAAAACTCATGAATGATCCGCCCCTTGTTCAGCGTATAGTCGACCAACAACTCTATGTATCCTTACTCAAGCAGCCCGGGCCACGCTCCGCCTATGGAGCACCCGTCTTCATTCCTTAACTTTCCTACTAGTAAACCTGCTTTCACTTGGCTCTGTGCACTCGCCCTGAGTTCTTTCTAGCGTGAGGTCCAAGAACCCTCTCTTGGGGTCTGGATCGCGACCCATTTTCGGCAACACAATGAAGCATTAACACAGCATGGCCTACCAAAAAAATGAACTCTAAATCCCCATTGACCCTATCATCTCTCTTCTTCTAATGAATCAAAGCTATGTTGAGAGTGTGAAACTCTAAACTCTCAGAATCTCAGAAATTATAAAATCCTGGGACCCTAAAGGATCTTAAACAAAACCTGGCCAAACCTCCCCATTATGCATCCTCTTCCTGCAATCAACACGCTTTAATACTAATTTAAAATAATAATTAAAATTTAAAAAGTAAATATATTTTGTAACTACAATATGTAGTATAAGATTTAATATATTTTGCTATTCTTGTCAGAAATGTTGGAACTGGCTGCCTGTAGACTTTCCTGTTGGCGAAACTCTAGGAGACTCAGGAACTGAGTCTACAGGTAATGACGCCTGCACTTCTACGGCACTTAACACTTAACACAGGTCGCCTGGACATTCGCACACTCGTCAGAGGGTTTGGCATAACAAGCTCACACAATTCTTCCATCTCCGAAGTGTATCGGAGAAGGGATCAGGGATCAGCACAGGAAACAATCTGCTGCCGTCAGCGCAGGCCCACGAGAGCCCCGAGGCTGGGGAGCTCTCGTCTCAGGGTCTAGTTAAGAGGCACATGATGACTGCGGGACCTCAGGACCTGGAAGGTGGAAGGCAATCGTTTCCACTGTTTCACCTCGGTAATTGGCAGAATGTAGATGAAGTATGCTAAAGGAAGCTTGCTTTTGTCAAAGGAAATTAAATCTCAGGACCCCAAAATCACTCAGCCATGGGAAGAGTCAAGCAGGGAACTCTGCCAGGCAAACCTGCCCCCCATTTTATTCCTAGATAAGATAGCTACAAAGGTATGAAGCCACACACCTCCTCACAATTTGCCCACAAGGAAATCCCTTGTGAACAAAAGGAAAACAGAACTCAGACTCACCCCTCTGCTCACAGGAGACAAACGCGTATCTGAGTGTTCCCTTTGCCCTGTTGTTTCACTAAACCAGACTAAGTCATAAGTGACCATTCCTGTAAATCACATACTCAGCGAAAGGCTAATCAAACTCAGAAGAAGGCAAGTTTGTTCCGCCTTTCTGGACAGAACCAATCTTACATATGTTGATTGATGTCTCAGGTCTCCCTTAAATGTGTCTCCCTCAAATGTGTAAAACCAAACTATACCCAGACTGCCTTGAGCACATGTTGTCAGGACCTCCTAAGGCTGTGTCATGGGCCGTCCTTAACCTTGACAAAATAAACTTTTAAAATTGACTGAGACCCATGTCAGATCTCAAGTGTAAACTCATGGTTTACACTTTCAACAGATCAAATGATCAAAGAGCACAGGGGAAAAAAATCCCCTTCTTTTATTTAGCCAAATATAAATATTTCTAATAAAATGTGATATATTTTGGTGCCTGGTATGTTTGAAAGATGTAATTTATTTTAAAAGTGAAAACTGGCTGGGCACTCGCAGCACTTTGGGAGGTCAAGGGAGGAAGATCACTTGAGGCCAGGAGTTTGAGACCAGCCTGGGCAACATAGTGAGACTCCGTCGCTACCAATAAAAAGATTTAAAAAATTAGCCAGGCATGGTGGTGTGCACCTGAAGTCCTTGCTACCCAGGAGGCTGAGGCAGGAGGATTACTTGAACTCGGGAGTTCAAGGCTGCAGTGAGTTATGACTGGACCCTCCACTCCAGCCTAGGCAACAGGGCAAGGCCCTGTCTCAAAATAAAATAAAATTTTAAAAAGTGAAAACTGATTTAGGGTCATTTTGAAGTTCTAATTTCTTTAAAAGATGTCATTATCAGTTCTTTGTGGCTCAACACAAGAGTATTAGCAAGATCCAAACCAGGAAAAAAAAAAATCCATCCCAAGAATCATCAATGGTAGAGGAAGATATTTCCAGATACTTTATGCAAGAAATATTAAGTGTGCATGACCCATGCGTGTAGCTCTTTACCCCTTGTAAAAACAGGTGGCATCAGAGCATTAGTGTATTTTGACACTTTGCATTATTTTACTCAATGTTATTTCAGAATAGTTAAAATATTGGCTCTCAGTGTAGACTTTTCAGATCAACTTCATGAGATACAATTTACAAAATGAAAGCTACCTGTGTTACAGGTATAGCTCAGTGGGCATGGACAAAGAGCAGTACAGACCACTCCTGACCACTCCATCCATGCCTTCTGCAGTGGCCACTCCTATGCCAAGCCCCAGGTTGGCGCCAATCTGATGATTCCTGTCCCTGTGCATGAATTTTGTCTGTGTCAGAACTTCACATAAAGTCATCAGTGTGTGTTCTTTTCTGTCTAGCTTATTTTACGCACCACAAAAATACTGAGACTCATACACATTGCTGCATAGATCAAAAGCTTTTCCTTTTTGACTGCTAACTGGTATTCTAATGTGTGGACATAGCAAAATTTGTCCTTCCAGTCACTGTTGATGGACAATTAGGTTGCTTCCAGTTTTTCGCTATTGCAAATAAAACTGCTATAAATGTTCCTGTGGAAGCCTTTTGTGAAAAAATGTTTTATTTCTCTTGGGTAATTATGTAGGATAGGAATTGCCAGTTCATGTGATAAATGTGTATTTAACAATGTAAGAAGCCACCAGAGTTCCCTAAAGTGATTGTACATCTTAGGCTTCCACCAGAAGTTTGTAAGAGTTCTGGTTATTCTATATCCTCCCCAACACGTGCAGTGTCCAGTTTTTAAAATTTTAGTTATTTTAGTGGGTATATAGTGGCCTTTCATTGTGGATTTAATTTTCATTTCTCAGATGACTAATGTTGTTCAACACTTTTTTCTATACTTATTTCTATACCTTGAAAAGCGTCCATTTAAATCTTTTGTCTGTGTCCTTTGCCCACTTTTTAATGGAGTTGTTTTTTGTTTGTTAATTTAAGTTTCTTTTAGATTCTGGATATTAGGCCTTTGTTGGATGTATAGCTTGCAAATATTTTCTTCTATTTTGTAGGTTATCTGTTTTCTCTGTTGATAGTTTCTTTTGCTGTTCAGAAGCTCTTTAGTATAAGTAGGTCCCATTTGTCAATTCTTGTTTTTGTTGTAACTGCTTTTGGCATCTTTATCATAAAATCTTTGTCAGCGATTATGTCCACAATGGAATTTCATAGATTATCTTCCAGAGTTTTTATAGCTTTAGGTTTTACATTGTTAAAGCAGGCTAAACATGACATGAGAAGGACTCCATTCTTCTATATTTGAGTCCTTGTAGATGAACTGCAACCTAACTTAATATGCAGACAAAACTGAGAACCTGATTTACGAGTATGCATCTGTAACAATAGTTCAGTCTTGGCCAATCCCAGAAGCCATATTTCAACCACTCATATGCTGCTGAGTGTTAAAACTGTTCAAATAAGGCAAATGATGAGCTGTAACTCATCCAGTTGTTTCTGTACTTCATTTCTGATTTCTGTACATCACTTCCCTTTTTTTGTCTATAAATTTGTTCTGACCATGACGTATCCCTGGAATCTCTGATTCTGCTGTGATTCTGGGAGCTACTTGATTCACAAATCATCCGTTGCTCAATTAAACTCTTTAAAATTTAATTTGGCTGAAGTTTTTCTTTTAACAACATTCAAGTCTTTAATCCATCTTGAATTGATTTTTTGTTTATGGTGTAAGGAAGGGGTCCTGTTTCAGTCTTCTGCATATGGCTAGCCAGTTATTCTATCACCAGTTATTGAATATGGAGTTCTTACCCCATTGCTTATTTTTGTTGACTTTGTCAAAGATCAGATTATCATAGGTGTGTGGCATATTTCTGGGCTCTCTATTCTGTTCATTGGCCTATGTGTCTGTTTTTGTATCACTACCATGCTGTTTTCATTACTATAGCTTTGTAGTACAGTTTGAAGTCAGGTAGCATGATGCTTCCAGCTTTGTTCTTTTTGCTTAGGATTGCCTTGGCTATTTGGGGTATTTCTTGGTTCCATATGAATCTTAAAATCATTTTGTTCTCTAATTCTGTGAACAATGTCATTGGTAGTGTAATAGAAATAGTATTGAATCTATAAGTTGCTTTATACAGTATGGTGATTTTAATAATATTGATTCTTCCTATCCATGAGCATGGAATGTTTTTCCATGTTTGTATCATCTCTGATTTCTTTCAGCAGTATTTTGTAATTCTTGTTGTAGAGATCTTTTACTTCCTTGGTTAGCTGTATTCCTAGGTATTTTATTCTTTTTGTGTAAAATAGGTGTTTAAATAGTATAATCTACCATTCCTAGATCTGTTTTTGACTGAATCTTCTTCTAGCTGTGAGTTATGTTTTCCTGTTTTTACTTCTTTTTAGTAAAAGAGCATTGTAGATACTACCACGTTGAGTGCCTAGATTTCATTGTCTTCCTTAAAAGTGTTGACCTTTGTGTTAGCAGGTGGTGAGTTACTTGCAGATCAGCTTGATCATTTGTTGGCTTATTGTTGTGTTCTGTTTGTGTGTCTAGAGTAGCAGAACTATTTTACCCATCAAAGTGTGTCCCTTCTGGTCTCTCCCCTCAGTGCCTGGTTGTTTAATAAGCCCTCTCCATTGTGGCTGTTTGGAACCGCTGTCCCCAGCCTGGTGCAGGCACTGAGAATAGTTCACTTCAAAGCTTCAAGGCAGCTGTTCTTGCCCTGCTTTGCAAGAAGCACCCTACACAGATAGCACTTAACTTTCAGCTGAAGGCTCAAGGAGATCCCTTTGCAGATTTCTGGAGCTCTTTCCCTTAGTGGTCCCATATTGCTAGTAACATGCTCTGCAAATTCCAGTTACCTTGGGCTTTTCAGACTCAACTTCTGCCTCTTCTTTTCAGCAGGAGGCTGAGCTCTGGGTGCCTCCTCCTTGTCCTGCAGTTTAGGAAGTGCTCCAGGCAGAAAATGGCCACTAATGGACCATTTTCTGTTCCCCTTATCTCATGATTCTCAGACATGTTCAACATGTGGAAACATTGCTCCACATGCAGCTGCCCAGTTTCCTAGCTGTTTACCATGACTGTGAGTAACAGGAGCCATGTCACTGCCACGGACAGTAGCTCTCCGGGCATTTTCCATTTGTTTTTTATGATGAACAATGCTGACTACATTTCTGTCTGTCAAATGTTTCTCATGCACATTGTACATTTACAGTTGGCTTCTCTCTGTTTCTTATTGATTTATATATTACTAAATTAATCATTTTTCGCTAATATAATAATATTGACTCCCTGTCTGTCACTTGTCTTTTGAATTTGCTGCTTTTTTTCTGTTTTTTTCTTAATTAAATCAAATCTGTCTCCTATCTTATAAGAGTCTTTTAACAAAACACAGCAATTTTCAAGTTCAAACGGGAAAATAAACAAGCAAGAAGAGCTAGAAAAAAATATGTAAAAGCAGAACAAGGAGAGAGCCCAGCCTTGTCAGAACCTGTGACACATTACAAAGCCTCAAAGATTAATACATAATAGCAGATGTAAAATCAACTTACAAAAAAGAAAATTCAGAAATTGACACAAATATATTTACAAATTTCATATATAATAAAAGTGATACCTCAAGTCTATGTTGAAATGATGTATTACATACTAGATAATGGTTGTTTGAGGAGAAAAACAAAAATTCATTCACAGCTTTGTGTTACAGAAAGATAAACTCCAAATTCATTGAAGATTTAGAATGTCAAATATCAAATTATAAAAGAATCAGCACTTACAGAACTTTCTTTTTCAGTTTCATAGTGGAAAAGACCCGACCACGGCAACCACATTTCTGTATTTTTACATAATCAGAAATTATTTGTACAATGTGCAAGTACATTGTAAAATAAAGGAAAAAGTACAGATATGCAAATATGAAGGATAAAAGACATCTATAACATTACACCCACCAATAACGCTGTCTGTGTTTTGATGTATGCTTCGATTGATTCCTACTGCTAAACATGTAGACTGTTTCCACTTTTAGCTTTTATAGGCGTTACTGTCAGGTAGTAATTATCTTGGGAGAGAATCTTTCTTTTTTTTTTTTAAGATGGAATCTTGCTCTGTTGCCAGGCTGGAGTGCATTGGTGCTATCTCGGTTCACTGTAACCTCCGCCTCCCGGGTTAAAGCGATTCTCCTACCTCAGCCTCCCAGGTAGCTGGGACTACAGATGGATGCCACCACGCACAGTTAATTTTTGTATTTTTAGTAGAGATGAGGTTTCACCATGTTGGCCAGGATGGTCTCTATCTCTTGACCTCATGATCCACCTGCCTTGGCCTCCCAAAGTGCTGGGATTACAGGCATAAGCCACTGCACCCAGATGGGAGAGAATCTTAAGAGTTGGAATTAGTAAGAAAAAAAAAATGCAAACATTTTAAGGTTTTTATTACATTATCAAAACGGTTCAAAAAATTGCTCATGTTTAGAATCACTGGGTGTTACCATAAAATCAAATTCCCACCATTCCCAGGGAGGCTCAAAGAGGCAGAATAGGCACATCAGAAGAAAAAGATGGGATGATGCAATTTGATGTGGAATTAGTTGAACACTAGAGAATTTTTCTTCTGCTTACATTTCCTGTAATGTTTTCTGTTCCTGCTTTTTTCCTATTTTTTTTCTGTTATCATACTTCCTTTGTCTATAATTTTAATCATGTTGCAAGTGTATAGCTTGGTTTGCTGATTTTAAATTTTACTTTAGTCTCAGCATTTGTCTTTACATATACAACAGCACTCTCTGAGCTTTCCACTACTTTCATCTGTCATCTATTATCATGAATAAAGGCCACCATTTAAAAAATTATACAGCTATTACGGTACTCATGTCAAACTTATAATGGCATAGGATATGAGGTGGAAACCTAATGTTTGTAGAATATACAGCATGATTTATTGAATCACTAAAGAAAAATAATACTCCTTTAAAAATATATGACAGAGATGACATGGTAGTTAAATAATTATTCTGGCATAAGTTATTATTCATATTAAATTAAAGAAAATTAGAATACAATATTATATACAAAAAATTCTATTAAAAGACTAAATATTAAAGACAAAAATTAATTCTTTTAGAATAAAATATGGAGAATGTCTTTATGATTTGGGGACGAAGGAATTCCATACACAATGCATTGCAATAAAGGGAAACCACATAAATATTTAACTACACTAAAGCTCGAAAGCTCTATCCGCAGACTTTAAAAAATAAGAATACATAAGCCGCAGACTGGGAGATATCTGTCATACATATATATTACAGAGATTTTGGATATAGAATATATAAAGGTTTTCTAAACAACAATAAAAAACAACACAATAGAAAACTGGTTGAAATGTATAATTGGTTAATTCACAGAAGAAATCTCCAGGGCTACTATGTAGATGAAAAATTTATCACATTGACTAGGAATCAGGGAAGTACAAAAAAGACTACAATGAGTTACCATTTCATATATTTTTGTATTAAAAAAAATCTGCCAATCAGTGTATGGAAGGGTGTGGCACAAAGGGGGTTCTCACACCCTGTGGTGGGAGCCAATCAGCACAGCTGCCTTCCAGGACTGAGCACAGTAGAGGTGTTCAGTGCCTACGAGGCTACCATTTACCCCGGGACACCGTGCAGGGAGATGCTCACAGGTGTGCTCACTAAGACACGTGTAGTGGGTTGAATACTGGCTCCATGAAAGATGTGCACCTGTACTCTCTGAATGTGACCAATTTTGGAAAAACGGGTTTTGCAAGTGCAATTAAGAATCTCAAGACCAGATCATCCTCAATTACCTGAATGGGTCCTAAATCCAATAATGAGTGACCTTACGAGAGACAGAAGACAGAGAGGCAGAGGTGGGAGTGAGGCAGCCATAAGCAAAGGAACAGCTGGAGCCCCCAGAGCTAGTGTCAAGGACACTTGACTGGCTCCCTCTAGAAGCCCTGAGGGAAGGTCCTTCCTCCCTGTCCCTCGGGGCCTCCAGAGGAGCCAGCCTGGAAACTCCTTGACTGCAGACTTCTGGCCTCCATGACTATGTGAGAACAAATTTCTGTTCTTGTAAGCAAAGCCGTTGGAGGTAATTTGTGGTTGCAGCCCAGGAAACCGATATAACATGTATAAGAATGTTCATTGAAGCAATGTTTTTAATAGCAAAACAATAAATAAATACATTCATAAAACCAAATAACCTAAACTTTCCTTAAGAGGAGCGTGGACACAGTTGGTATAGTATTAAAATGAATTTCTGTACAGCACTTTAAATAAGCTAGAGCTACATGCCTCAACATAGAAAAATACAAAACACATTCAAGGGAAAAGCAAGCCGCACAGAGATGCATGGACTATGCATTCATGTGACGGACATACAGGCCTGAGTCTAAAAGAATGAGGATGTTTGATTTGATGGGAAACGCGGGTTGGGGAGAGACCAGAATCAGGGAGAGGAACTCAGGAGGCCTGAGGAGACACGTGCTCTTCCCCTAGGCCATGCAGGTCACGGGTGTAAATGATACTATTCCCCAGTCCCTTGTGTGTCAGAAATATATTACGTAAAAATCATTGCATCATCTGAATATTGTATAATTAAAATATTTAAATATTAGTGGAAACAGGACTACAGGTATAAAATGTATATTATGAATAATTACTCCACAAACTATCATTTCAAACCCTACTTCTCTGGGCCAACAATACGACTTGAAAAGGGTATGGGAAACTGAAAAAATGTATTTGTTTCACACAAACATGTGATCACAGAAGCCCCCCATCCCTTACTCCAGACATACACAGGAACAAAATTTGAAAGACAAGGACTTGATGATAGATTGTTCACTAAATACTTGTTGGTTGCATGCATTTGTGTAACTTTGACAATTCTGGAATTTGAATTTTTAGGACCTAAAAAAGTTACTCATATTCTCAACAATCATGTACTTGTTTAAAATGAAAGGATCCCATTTTGATGACAGCCTTATGACACTGAAAGCCTGATATTCTTTTTACTTGCTGTGGTGAATATGGAGAGAGACAAACAGAACAATTCCCAGAAGCACATAATTCTTGTATCAGGAAGGAATCTTAAGACATCCATTCAAAATTATGTCAACCTATTGGTATTCTTCTATTTCTTTATTATTAATGCTTTGATTATAAAGTTTAGATTTAAAGGGTCTTATAAAACATATAAATGAGGAAAATTCCAAGTGACTATTTGGGCCATTAAAGTACATTTTATGGAGGTAGATTTTAGTCATGATTTCAGTAATGAAAATTCTTTTTTCTTTTGTTTTCGTTTTTGAGATGGAGTCTGGCTCTGTTGCCCAGGCATGAGTGCAATGGCATGATCTTGGCTTACTGCATCCTGCGCCTCCTGGGTTCAAGCGATTCTCCTGCCTCAGCCTCCCAAAGGCTGGGACTACAGGCATGCACCACCCTGCCCGGCTAATTGTTTTGTGTTTTTAGCGGAGATCGGGTTTCACTGTGTTGGCCAGGCTGGTCTTGAACTCCTGACCTGAAGTGATCTGGTTGCCTTGGCCTTCCAAAGTGCTGAATTACAGACGTGAGCCACTGTACCTGGCCCCAAAATTGAAAAAAACTTTCTTTGGTATTCTACAAGTGATCAAAAAAAAAAAAAAAGATACGTGGTAAGGGACATTTTCAATTTTCCAAATTTCCAATATAGCATTTATGCTATATTGTGTTAGGTAGAAAGGGCCCATTCCCCATGCCCGGGACCCACATCCAGCGGACCGCCTCCGGAGCCCATCCCCTCTTGCCACATGGCTCTTCCTTCTTCTTTGTTTAACCTCCACCAATCACTCCATACCACCTCACCTGTACTCCCCACCTTAGCCCGCCAAAGCTAAGCCAATCCCTGCACTCCACAATACTCCCCCTTCGCCCATGCCCAACCGCCACCAATCACTTCACAACACCTTGCCTAAACAGGCTGCCGCCCCTATAAAAACCCTCTCCGGCAGCTGCTGGGTGCAGCTCTTCCCTCTCCCGCTCGAGTTGCCCGCAAACCCCAATAAACCTGGACTCGGCTTAACAACTCCTCGCTCTCATTTGCTTTGGGAAGGGTCTCTGCGGGTCGCACAATTGGATTGCTAGATGTTGGAAACTCCACTTAATGAGGACACACTCAGAGGGAACCTAGCTTCACTGCGATTTTAATTGCTAAAAAGGAGAAGGGATATTGGCTGAGCTGGTATGAGTTAGCTAGACTAATGAGAATATAACTGGAAAACGGACTGATACCAGTTTGTCTGCTCATAAGGCAAATGTGTTGACTGTAATTTTGATGGGATCATGGGATGAGCTGCACATGGAGGGCGCTGCAGGGGCTGTGGCACTGGGACAGCGGCCGTCTGCCCACAAGGGCCTCCCGTGCCATTGCTTGGAGCGGATGCGTCATTTCTACACTGAGGCAGTTAGGAGTGCGTTTTCTCCTCCCTCCTTCCTCATCACTTGCTGGATAAAGAGGACTTTGATGGCAGAACCATGGAGGGAACGACAGCAGACCTCGGGGTAGGACACTGCCCACGGCCCAACAGCCACATTCAACTGTGATGTGACGAAAGAGTAACTCTCAGTGTGGTAAGAAATTGAGATTCGAGGACCTACTTGTTATTGTGGCTAACTTCACCCTAATTAGTACATAAAAAATCATTCGGATTTCTCTATGGTGTTTGTTTAACAAGATAGAGAAGTATGTGAAATGTTGATTTTTGAACTTAGGGCTAGATTTGACTTATTTTTAATATGCATTTTAATCACTTAAGAGGTAGAAAAATGAAAATACTTATCAAATGTAATTATATTGTATATTAATATTTTTATCTTGATTGCATATTATTAATAACATTGCTTGCAAGTCCTCTAAAAAGCAAAACAGTGATGCTGCCTTTCCAAATAAACAAAATGGATAAGGAGATGATTTATCTTGCTATACCAAGCACTCCTATCAGCATGCACACCTTAAAACCATTTACGACTATAGGGTTCGATCTTGCCCCTCCCTCGTTAGGACCCCAGCCCCGCTGACTCCTCTGTCTACACCTTCCTGTTCAGCTGGGGCAGCTGCGGCAGTCCAGGTCCAAGCAGGATGTTATAGAGAGGGAAGTGCAATGTGAGAATGATTAACTATGACAAAAGATGTAAGGCAGCTGTAGGCTCTGAGAGTTCTCAGGAAGGAGGGCCTGGGACAGATTCAGCCCTCATTGGAAAAAGCATAGTTCAGCCCAGAGATCAACAGAGATGCCCACGCTGGACACGTCAGGGGTGCTGGTGAGCAGAGGCCACTCTGGAGAGAGGGGCTCTACAACTGGTGGTGTGGACATGCAGTGGGAGCCTGGGTGCTAGCCAGAACAGGGGTCCTTTTGGGGCTGCAGGGAGGGTCTGATTTCTGAGCAGGGGGCTTAGAAAGGACTTCCCTAGGCCAGGTTGAAGGGACCTCCTCCTTTGCCCAAGGCTGGGGGTCTCCACTGGATGTCCCTCTCTCTCTAAAGACCCCTCCAGGACCCCCTCCTGAGGAAACTCATGTCCTGCCCACTGCAAAGTGGTCACACTTCAAGGAATGCGGCTTATTCCAGAACATAAACTGGGTGGGGTGGGGCGGGCCTCTGGGGGCCGAGAGGCAGGAAGTTGGAAACTGACAGTTGGCTTGGCCAGACCCTGGCAGGTGGCTCACCTGTGGCCTTTGGAGTAAAAATGGCTTTTATATTTGTTAATGGCTGGAAAAAATCAAGTGAAAAGGAGAATAATATTTTCTGTAAAAACACATTTTCAAAGATGAAATAGATAAAATCGCATTAGAGAGCAGCAGTAACAGCTGGATATTTGTGCTATATTTTGAGGATAAGAAACACTAACTGTACCTCAGTAAGTAAAATGTTATACCCTAAATATAGACAATTCCGTTCTTCTCACCAGTAGACTTGCATTGCAAAAACATAATTATTATAATTTCAGTTTTGCCAATGAAAAATGTATGGAAATTTGTTCTCTCTTGCTATAGAAATGCCTATATATCTTTAATTTCACTTCTTGGCCTATGTAGCCTAATATACATACTATCTGGTTCTTTACAGAAAAAGGTTTGCTAACCCCTGACCTGTGGAATACAAATCATTCCTCAAGACCAATTTTAAACATTGCCTTCTACAGGAACCATTCCACACAGCCCTTCAAACACATGAACTTGCTGGGCAGGGTGCCACTGTCACACCATTTGAATGGGATTGCAGCCACTGTTCACTTATAGGGCAAAGGCCCCCTGGACTCCTATGGCCTCAGGGGCTGTCCCTTCCTCCTGGCAGCCAAGCATCCCACCAGGCTGCACAAAAACCACCCGAGAAGGACGTGGGAACAAACCCCTCACCTCCTGCGTAAGTGGTCTGGGAAGGGCACCTTTTGTTTCTTTTTAAAAAAACATGTTGACACAGCATAACACGGACAAATGCTGACTTGATTATGCCTCTGGGAAGAGCGAATGGGGCTTGCTCCTTCCTGGCCTCCACTGGGGTCCTCTGTCTTCCCTAAGGTTCCGCCTCTGCTACTGACACTCAGACCTCAGATGCTGCCCAGGTTCTGTGACTTTAAGCACCATTTACATTTGGTAATTCCCCAAGTTTTATCTATTCTTTAACTGTCCTTTAAATTCCAGACTTGCAATATCAATTGTAGCATTTCAAATGCAACATATTCAAATACTAGAACTTGAAATACCCACCTGCCTATCCCCCTGGGCTGAAGCCTTACTCTCTAGGTAGATTCCATTGAGAGGTGGTGCTCATACCTGGGCCAGCTGTGATTTCTTAATTTCTCACATGCCCATAACCAGTCCATCAGCAAACCCTATGAGAACATAAACCTTCAAAGCAGACTCAGCATCTGACTACGTTACGCCCTCCCTGCTACCAGCCCGGCCCAAGAATGCTACTTCTTGCAGGGCCTTTGTGGCTGCCTCCTGGTTGTTAGATCCTAGCATTGGCCCATTTGGCCAAGTCTCCAAAGAAGGCTGTGTCCAGGTAACTTCTCAGACAATATTACTCCCCTGCTTAGATCTTTCCAGGTTTTCCCAACACATGGAGACACTCAATCTGCACCATGGCAGACACACAAATGTGTGTGTATATATATTTGTATATCTCCCTCACTAGAATGTCAGCTCCATGAGGGTCAGCACATTAATTATTAATTGTAATATCCCAATTTATTTTTCTTGAGACAGTCTCGTTCTGTCACCCAGGCTTGAGTGCAGTGGCATGATCTCGGCTGACTGCAACCTCCAGCTCCTGAATTCATGCAATTCCCTGCCTCAGCCTCCTGAGTAGCTGGGATTATAGGCACCTGTCACCATGTCTAGCTAATTATTGCATTTTTCGTAGAGATGAGGTTTCATCATCATCTTAGCCAGGCTGCCCTTGAACTCCTGATCTCATGATCCACCTGCCTCTGCCTTCCAAAGTGTTGGGATTACAGGCGTGAGCCACTGCGCCTGGCCATGCCCAGTAAATATTTGTGAAATGAATAAAGCATTTTGTATGGCTTTCAGGACTAAACGTGAAACTCTGTGAGGGATCCTTACGTAGACTCATTTGTATAGAAAATCCAGTGGATTTAGAAGACAATGTACTCCGTAACAGCAGTTTCTCAGCTTCTTAGACCATGCAACATTTTCCAGACTTTGAGGGAGAGGTCAGAGAGCAGCAAGGTGCAAGTGCCCGAAACAGCCTTTCTCCAGGACAATATCAAGAACAAACAAAGTCAAGGCGGAGCGGAATGCCAGGAGACCAGGGAGGTAACCCCAAGCAGAGGCTCCAAGAAGCCTCATGGACATCTCCACTGCCAGGTGTGCCCAGGAGAGGAATGGAGAGGGAGGCGAGAGCTTACCCCACAGTTTCGTCAGCACAGAAGGTGTGGGTCAGCTAGTGAGTCCACCAGCAGATGGAAGCTGCTATTAGCCTGTAAGACAGCTGGACTCTTGGAATCTTGTGTCGAATTCTGTGGCATTATCAGCAGTGTTTGAGAGTTAACAATAACCAAAGACAAACAAGCAAATCTGTGGGTAGCTAAGACACACCCGACCCCTCTTACTCATTTGCACCTAAAATGCCAGTGCCTCCAGGAAGAAAGGGAGCCCAGGCTTGACTGGAAATGAGGTCTCAGGATAAAATGTTTCCATTTTTGGCAGTCAGGTTTGTGACCTGGGATAACCTGTACATTTGTCTTTCCTTCCTCCTTCTGTTGTACTCTTAACTTTTCTACCACTAAACTGTACAATCCTTACAGACCAGAGCTGTATTTTTTACCAATTTGTGACTCTCTAAAAGTACCTTGGTCATACATCTAGATACTCAATACATTTTAATTATATATTTATATACAAATCATACATATATTTAGATGCTCGATACATTTGAATTAGTTCACTGGAGTGGAAACTTGTTCTTTCTGCGGCTGAATATTTCATCTACTTTATTTCAGAGGCAGCACGACTTGCCTGCTTCCATCGATGCTGCAGCCATAGTCCCGGGAGTGGAGTGGATGAGCCGAGGCTGCTGTATCAGGCCAGCATTCCTCTTTGTGCCACAGCAGAACTTTATGACTAAAGCTGGTCCAATGCCAGCATCTGATGAGGGACTTGCAGGGGCTGCCAGAAGAACATAGTCCGAGGCACTGCTGTTTCTACCTGCGGTGGGATTTTGTCTCCACAAGGGGAGATTCTGAGAGCAAAGCCTCAGTAGGAGAGCCCGGAAGGAGGTGCAGAACCCTGGCTCTGCAAAGCCAGAACCTGTTTGTCACATGGACCAGCAACACCTTTTTCTGTTAAAGCCAATTTAGAACAGATTTTCTAATACGTACAACTGAAGCACTGTAAATAATACATAAATCTTATCCCCTCAGAAAACTTTCTACTTTGAACTCTCTCAACCAAGCAGTATTAGAGTAGTCAAATAAGCAAATTCCTCAGTTGAGAGTTGCTCTTACAAACATCCTGCAGTAGGGAAAGTCATGGCCTAATCTGTAAGCACAGGAAGAGAGCCACTGGACTTGGGAATCATATGCAGCCTCGCACGGCTACCGACTGCAAGACACATCCTAGACCCAGCCTGTGTCACTGTGAACCCACTGTTGACAAGGCTGGTCACAGTGAAGACATCTTCAGTGTGTCAGCTGAACTACAAATTCTATTAAACTTCTGATAAAATCCTGCCTGCTTATAGTTGTATGCAGCGAATTTCTCTGTCAGAACAACAAAAGAAATATGCAAATAAAATTTTAGATATGAGTCCCAAATCCCATCCTCAACATCAAATGATGGCTCACCCATTTTTCCTCTGCTGTGCCATAAGGCATACAGAGCATGACCTGAGCAGAATGCTGATGGCCCTTTCTGTCATACTGCTGAGGTTATGAAGATGCAGGTCATTACTAATGAAGCCTTTTACACCTCACATCATGGTTAGCAGCTGAACGCTCATAAATGTCTTAAGTCCCTTGAATCATGCAAAATCTCTATAAATATTAAGTTTTTTCCTAAGAAAAGGGTGGCTGCCAAACCTCAAGCTAAGAAACTTTCAGATAAAGTTTTCTTTAAAAAAAAAAAAGTTTAAATGTTTGAAATTTTTTATAGTAAAACATTTTTTAAATTAGAAGGTTTTATAAAATGCAGGAAAGACAAATCAGCATAAGATCTGGAAATAATCTTAAGTATTGATCATAGGTCTATAAACTCAGTGCTAGGGTCACTGGGGTCACACAGGGACATTAGAATCCTACTTGGAGTAAATTGTCACCTGAGGAGAGAAAGTTGACTACTGTTTCCAATCTAAACCTTCACCAAGGGTCAGGAATGAAAGCAAGAAGACCCAAGAGCCCCTATCCAGCACCATTATTACCAGAGCTCAGATTCCCAAACTTTTGCTTCCCTTATATTATTTTCTTCAAAGGACTCTATTATGAAAGGAATACTTATAGGAAAGTAAGCTTAGTAAATTTGGTTTTCTAAGTTTTTATTAAATACATATTCATTAAATTATTGAATGTGAAATTCAAATAATTCATCAAATTATACTTTATGTGAAATGGAGGTTAATTCACTAAAATTCCATCTAAGATCAAAGGAACTGGAATGCTCCTAAAGATATACTTAGAATAAATTGAAGAAATCTTAGCCAAAAGAAAGTGTATCTATCTAATCTTTAAAAAGGCTTTCAAATGTTGCCTTAAGCTACTTTTATGAACAAAATTGCATTTTGAACCCCACTGCTTGACAACTATGGCCTTTGTTTCTTAAGTCGATTCTTACCTTTCTGTGGCCTTGGTTTAACTACTTCCTTTGTTTTAAGGAGACAAAGTTTGTCAGTTCTCAAAATAAAAACCTGTCTCTCTGGTCAGATCATTAACTTCCTGAGTCAAACTTTAAACCAGACTTGCATTTGAACATCAAGTGCCAGCCTAAGCTTGTTTCCAGTCCCCCAACCGCAGGCTGTGGCTGGGGAACGGAGAGGACAGAGGTTTCTCTGCTCCCTCGGGAGACAGGAAAGCCCTTTATTTATTCCTGCTATCTCTCTTCTCCAACTAAGAGTGTGATCTTGGTACAGAGCAGGTCCACACAGGCCACACTGGTCTGATCTTTTTAGTAAAAAAACGGGCTCTTCCCAAAGAAAATTTTTTAGGTCTCAAAGAGCAAAGAATTAGGTCTTATCACGATGCCACTCACTGGCAAATAAGCCCGCGTGCACAAGGGCTTGTGACGCCCTCAGCAGAGTCGGCGCAGCAGTTTTTTCCCTTCGACTGCATCAACTTCCTAGGATTCTGTGGATCCTTATTTCTGCAAAATGAGAAATCTCCTGGGAATAAAGATTTCCTAAACAGAACAAAAGTAGCAAATCACTCTTGATCAGCAAGCATCATTTTAAACTTGTTTTTTTTTTTTTTTTTTAAATTTACAAAAGATGAGGGGTAGCATTTACTAGTTTTAGAGATTCTCCCTAAACACGATAGACAGGATGGAGACTATCACTTTGATCATTTTAACCTCCAACATAGTAATTTGCAAACATTAGTTCCTGCACAAGCATTTCAATAACAGGTCAGCCCACGGGAGTAAACAGTACCTTAGCCTCGAGACCTGTTATTTCTCTCTGTGTGGGTACAGATTTTCTAAGTCATTACTAATTCAGATATTCCCCACGTCTCAATAAAAATACCTAGGAGAACCAGAAATCAGGACAGGCGTCTCCTGTAAGCAGAAGAGAAACCGGGCACGTTGCAGGGCAGCCTCCCGTCTCTTTCCAACTCCGCGGGGGAATGGGCGTATGGGTTCAAACCAAGTGAGAAGCACACACTTCGGCCAGCAGCATAAATCCCATTTCCTAACGGTGGTCAACCGATTCAGGGCAGTTTCATACTTCCTTCAATAAGGAAAAACCATCTCAGAGGCCCCGTGGTCGCCGCGCCCCGCGCTCGCCTCGCCGCCCCACCGCCCCGCGGCCCCGGCGCCAGCTGTGGGAGGCTGGCCCTTCTCTTCCAGGCCCGGGGACCGAGGCGGGCAAACTCGAACCTCGCCGGCGCCCTAGCCACGGCTTCCTCCCGCGCCTGCCGCGGGTTCCACGCGCATCCCAAGCGCGCGCATCCGACCCAAGCTCCAGAGCCGCCTCCGTGGGACCGAAGGATGGTCGCTGACACCTGGCCGGTCAAATATTAGGAAGTTATAAATAACACGACCATCGCCAACATTGCAAACTTCGGAACAGCTTTTCTAAAAATGGAAAAGACTGTGGCTAAACTTCAATCGAATTCGCTGTGGTCAAGAAAGTCCTGGAAACTTTCTATCTGAGCTTTGGGCGGTTGCGGTTACCAGGCGCGCGACCTAGAAACCCCAGAGGCTTCGCGGGCTCTCCGTCCTCCTCCTCCCGCCGCCGCCCGGTTCCGCACCGCTCCTCAGCGTGGGGGGCGGCCGGACAGGTGACCCCCGGTACTCACTGGTGTCCGCCGGCCGCGGCGCCCGGTCCCGAGGCTGCCCAGGAAGAGGAAGGCGCACGGCCCCGCCCCGCGGACGCGGAGGCCCCGGCGAGCGCGCACCTGCGGCAGGTGAGGCAGGCGGCGGCGCGGAGCACCTGCCGTGTACGTTTCGCTGGACAAATCCCACGCGCCCGCCGGGCGGCGCTCGGGCCCGAGCCCTTGGGGACTTCGGAACCGCTCGGTCTTTATGATCGAAAAGCCCAGGGCCGGCGGCGGCTTCGGCGTTGGCGGCGGGGTCTCGGGGGGCGCCCAGGCCCAAGGCCGCCCTGGTCCCGCGTGGACCGCGCAGGGCTCAAGGCAGGTTTCCCGGCCGGGCCCGCCCCGCTTCTCTCCGCGAGGTCGGACGGCGCGCCCCACAGCCAGCCCCGTGCGCGGGACTCGCGCTGTGCCCCAACCCCGGTGGGTTACCCTCGGAGCCGCGAGGCCTGAGCCCGCGCTGCAGGTGACCTGCTGCTCCTCCTCCTCCCGGCGGCCCGCGGCCCCGCTCCTACAGGTGACCTGCGGCCCCGTCCCGGCAGATGACCCCCGCGGCCCCGCCCCTACAGGTGACCCGAGGCCCCGCCCCTACAGGTGACCCGAGGCCCCGCCCCTACAGGTGACCCCCGCGGCCCCGCCCCTATAGGTGACCTGCGGCCCCGCCCCTACAGGTGACCCGCGGCCCCGCCCCTGCAGGTGACCCGAGGCCCCGCCCCTGCAGGTGACCCCCGAGGCCCCGCCCCTACAAGTGACCCGCGGCCCCGCCCCTGCAGGTGACCCCCGCGTCCCCGCCCCTACAAGTGACCTGCGGCCCCGCCCCTGCAGGTGACCCGCGGCCCCGCCCCTATAGGTGACCTGCGGCCCCGCCCCTGCAGGTGACCCCCGAGGCCCCGCCCCTGCAGGTGACCCCCGAGGCCCCGTCCCTGCAGGTGACCCCCGAGGCCCCGCCCCTGCAGGTGACCCCCGAGGCCCCGCCCCTGCAGGTGACCCCCGCGTCCCCGCCCCTACAGGTGACCCGCGGCCCCGCTTCTGCAGGTGACCCGCGGCCCCTTCTCCTCCAGGCGGCCCCAGCCCGCCCCTACAGGTGACCCACCGCCCAGCCCCAGGGTGACCCGCGGACCCTGTCCCCGCCCCTACAGGTGACCCCGGGGCCCCACCTCCTTTAGGTGACTCCCCCCCTCGCGGCCCCTCCTCCTCCAGGTGACCCTCAGCCCGGTCCCTGTAGGTGACCGGCAGCCCAGTCCTTGCAGGCGAAGGACCCTCCACCTCTAGGGTACTTGGGGACCTGTCCCAGCAGGTGACTCACGGCCCCGCCCCTGGACGTGACCCGTGGCCCCGCCCTACTCGGCCCCGCCTGCCCTCGTGCATCGCAGGCCCGCCCCAAGCGACTGCGCAGGCGCAGCTCCCACGCGCGCCGCCCTGGTGGCGTTAGTGCGAGAATGCGCAGGCGCGCGGGGCGAGAGGCCGGCAGTACGCGTGCGCCGCGTCGGTGTGCGTCAGGAAGCGGTTTCTTGGCGCCACAACGGGCGCCGCAACGGGCGGGAAGATGGCGGAGCCGGTTACCAAGTCCGTGCTGTTTGTGTGTCTGGGTAAGAGGGTGCCGACTTACTCATGTTCTGACGTCCCATCGAGAGTTTGGTCCGGCTTACGCTTTGTGGGTTGTGCTGCCGAGCTAGGAACAGTGATGGGGAGGAGGCCAGGGAGTGGGGGGCCTTGGGTGTTCCAGGAGTGCCCCGCAGCGCCCCCGCTCCCCATTCGCCCCGTGCCCCTGCCCAGCCTGCCCTCTAAACCTGGGTCCCCTCGCGCCCGCCATATAGCCGAGGCCCTTGGCATCTGCAGCCACAGTCCCTCCAAGCCGAGGTTCGTTCTTTCTATCTACAGTACTGGAATTCCTCCCGTTCCCTCGCAGCGGGCCCAGGTAGGCCTGGAGATTGTCGGTCTGATGTGGTGCCCCTATTAGGGGCCTCCTGAGTTCTAGGACAACCTTGTTTTGCTTGCAGGTTTTCTTAGCCCATGCTTAGATATGGATCTGAGCTCAAGGGAGACGAAGTATGGCTTCGGGTTTCTTGATTGTGAAAGCCAAGCCGAGGAGATCTGGAGGTCCCTATATAATCTTGGTTCATGAAAAATGAAAGTGTATTTTATTGATGGCTCTTCAGGAACTTTCCGGCTTACATTATTTTCACTCCTAGAATGTCAACACTTAGCTTACCTTACTTCAAATTTAAAATTTAATTAAAGGAATTTAATTAAAGGAATTTACTTAATTTAAGTAATTTACTTAAATTAAGTAATTAAAGGAATTTACTTTCCCTTTGGTTTTCAGGGGTCTTCCTTTGGTGTAGCACTGCAAGGTTGTATTCCTCAGTTCCTCCACCCTGAGAGGAAGGCCTAAATTGTCCATAGTTCAGTTTCTTCAAACCTTCTGTGAGTTTGCATTTCCTGCAGAGTGAAGTTTCTGTTTATTTTTACAGACTCCCCGTTGTATCTCCTGTACCTTTTCCTGCTCACACCCTCTGGACACTGCCTTCCAGAACCTTTTGTTGCTCCCCAACCCTTTACCTGCTTACTGAGCCTTCATTACCGGGTTCCCATTATGCATTTTAAAGTCTTTTTATTTTATAAAGTCAAACCCAAATATTTCCTCCTCTGCTTTCCCAGACCATGACTTGCTTCTTGTGATTCCTTGGTGACAAACATTTACTATACAGATTTTACTATAGTTATTTGATAGTCTGTTGAAATCCCAGCTAAGTTTAATTTTCTTGAGGGCAATAACCGTGGCTTATTTTTCATTTTGTTTCCAGCTTTAGGACAATATATGATAAACGCTGACTAGGTTTTGTAGAAGTTAATTTCTGTGAAAGAAGAATTAGAAGGCTCACCTTGTTTCACATTGGTAGTATCATTTGATTTTAAGACTCACTGAAGGCTGAATGATGAAATCAAGTTTATTAAACAGTAGATTGGTTAAGGGTCGTTACCAAATAATAGTCCATTCCCTTGTATATTTTTGGTTGATAATGTCGATTATTCTGATACAGTGCATCACGGTTGCTGTTAATGGGGAAGTATATCCTTGCATATACAGTAGTCCCACTTTAGCTTTAGGGGATACATTCCAAGACTTCCCAGTGGATCCTGAAACCGTGGGTAATACCAAGCCCAACTGCCATCAGTTGGAACATGTGTCTGGCCATCAGCTGGAATACGTGTTTGTTCATTTCTTCCACCCACAAATGTAATGTCGTTTCCACATTAACTGAGCACTTAACCACTGTGGTCGCAGCTTTTGCAGTTGGAGGTGAGACAGCAAAACTATCAGGAATTTCTTTTTCCTTGTTCACATTTTCATGGATAGAAGATTTGTTCGTATCATAAATCTTAGTAACCTCAGTATACGATTTTTTTCTTTCCATAAGAAGTCAAAAACTTTCACCTTTTTACTTAAAGGTAGTGCTGATGGCTTCTCTTTGCCATATCTGAATTACTAGCTTCACTACTCTATACTTTGTGGCCATTATTAAGTAAAGTAAGGGTGACTTGAACCCAGGCACTGTGATAGCATCACAATGGATCTGATAACCAAGAGGGCAGTAGGTGGATAGACAGCGTGGATATGCTGGACAAAGGCATGATTCACTTCTGGGGCAGGACGGAATGGGATGGCATGAGAATTTATCCTGCTACTCAGAACAGCGCATAATTTAAAACTTAGGAATTACTTGTTTATGTAATTCTTCATTTAATATTTTCCAGCTGAAGCTGACCACATGGTGACTATGGAAAGTGAAACCTTGGAAAACGGGGGACTACTGTATTTCAATACAATTCAGTTATTACTGTTTTTTTTTGGAACACATACTATATGGCATGCACTCCTCTAAGTGGTAGGGATATATGGAGTGGTGAACACAACAGACAAAAGTCCCATCCTCTCTGGAGCTCACATTCTCTCAGTTACCAGCAAGCATTAATTGGTATGCTCAATCGGTTGGTGTGAAGCGTTAAGAAAAATAGAGTAGAATGGGGAAATGGAGAGGAGTGCAGTTTTGAGTAGGATGGTCAGGGAAGGCCCCACCTGACAGATGACCTTTGAGTAAAGACTTGAAGGAGGTGAGGAAGCAAGCCTAGGATATTTTGGAGAAGCATCCTGAGCCCAGAGGAAACTGGTTGATGTTGGTAAAGGTTTTGAAGGGAGAATACTGGCCATGGTCATGAACCGCAGGGGAGCCGCTGTGGTTGGGTCAGTGGCTGGATACCTTTTCTCAGCCAGGACTCCTCATCTGCACCTGAAGATTGAGCAGATAATTTGAGTGACTGTTTTCTCAGTGCTTCCATTGTAGATGTGTAGGGAGAAGTTAATTCCTTATATACACGTCCTTTAGGACAGGAGTCTGCGAATACTTTGCGTAAAGAACCAGAGTGTATATGTTTTAGATTTGCTTCAAAAGCCATACCAAAAAGGTGTAGCACAAAGCAGCCATGCATACGATGAACCCAGCTGTGTTCTAGTAGACCTTCATTTGTGGACATCAGAGGTGGATGGAACTCCGTATAATTTTCACATATCACAAGATATTCTACCTTTGAATTTTTTCCAACTACTCAACAATGTAAAATTCTTACCTCTGTGGGCTGTACACAAAGGTGGTGGACCATGGGCCAATTTTCAGACCCTTGTTTTAGGTCCAGATCTTGGGAGGCCATGTGAAGAGTTGGACTTCTCAATAAGCATTGGGGAGTTTTGAGCAGAGGTGGGACATGATCAAATTTAAGTTTCAGAAGAAGTGTTTCAGCTGTTGCTTTGAGATTAAATGAGATGGAGAATGCCGTTACTTGTTTGTTGGGTGGTGAGTAGTTGCGTTCTGAGGAGATTTGAGTGGTGAATGCCATTTTACATGGTAGAGGACAGTAAGAATTGTATGCTTTTGAAATGTAAACATTTTATTCCTTCCAAGTATTTATTTGGACCCTTTTAAGACTGAAGTGTAGACAAACGGGTTTTTCATTGGTGAAGCTAGTGATAGAAAAGAACTGAGATCCTTATTACAGCACAGTTACTAAGGGTGCTTGATAGTTTTGTAAGATAGAGACTTACTAGTGAAGATGATGCAGGAGCCATGACCCAGCCAGCATGGTTGATGGAGATAGCGTGTGCTGGGTTCTGGGTCTCACCTCCCTACTGGGTGCTGGGTCTCACCCCCCTACTGGGTGCTGGGTCTCACCCTCCTGCTGGGTGTTCGGTCTCTTACAGGTATGGTAGACACAGCCCTACCCTCCCAGAGGATAACTGTTCTTTTATGAGTCTCCATCCTTGAAGATGCTGAGGAAGGGTATATAATAGGCTACCTAATTTGGAAAAGACAAACTTGAGACTTTACAGATTTAGACATTTTTCTACAGGCATTTGAAGATGGAATGTTCAGTTTTTAGAACTTCTTCCATAGGTGAAACCTGGAGTGCTTATAGTGTTTCACTGATGATCGGGGTGCTCCATTTTTTCATAACACAGTTTGGTGGCATCAGCTTTCAAAATCAACAGGGCAAGCTACTACTGGGCTTTAGAACAGTAGATAATGCAAGTTTTTCATATTGTTGGAAAAAGAAGCTGTTATTTTCCAGTTAATGATAATTACTTGTAAAGTTGTGGGGCTAATCTTTATTTTTAGATTCTGAGATAGTAGGCATCTATTAATACTTTCACTGTTCCAAAATAATAATAATTGTCTTAATTTGGAATACAATGTATGATGTTAAAAATTCTCCTAGGGTATATAGTGACAGGTAAAATAGTTACACACCCATGGGAAGCCTTTCAGTAATTAAAATGGTGCCGATGACAATACCTGTTTAAAAACTAAACAGAGTTTAGAATGTGGAAAGGAAAAACTTCACAACACAAATTAGCATAAAGAGGGCATTCAAGGCTAATTGGTTGTTTTTCCCTTTATAGTTTGTAGGTAAGATTTTTGACTGCTGTGGAAACCAGTCTCTGGGTAAAAGGTATATAAGATGCTTAGGTCTTGCAGGATAGAAACTGAAGGCTGTAGTAAGGCAGTGAGCTGGTTTTCTGAACTGGGGAATTAGGTATGTTTTATAACACTAGAAGATCCTAATTGTACATGTTTAGCATAAACAGAAGACCCTAATAAAAATAAAGAGTAAACTCTTATTTAGTGCTGTCTATTCTCACAGTTCCTCTTTTTCGTATGTGTTTCCTTAATTCAGTTCCTGATGTTTGGACTTAGTGTGGTGCTTTGGCATGAAAGAGACTGGAAGGCCTCAGCAGCCCCAGCAGCAAGGTCATAGAAACCATTGTTCACCTTCCCCAAGGTGTATCATAGGAACTAGAACTCCTTTCCCCCAAAGCAAGCCATAAAACCTAGAAAGGTCACTCTCTCCCTTCTGCCTTCTCTTGAAGAAACCGTTGCAGTGGGTCCTGCTTCGTTCCTGGGGTAGGGAACGCTGGGGCCCTGCGGGGTTTCCCTGCTCAGTTGACTCTGGTGGATCATTTCCTTTTGTCCAGTCCCATTTCTGCGTGGCTTTTTATTGGCATCTAAGCATAAAAACAGTTTCCCTGGGTCTTTGGGTCTTCATTTCTGAAGGCTTCCATGTCACATAAAACTTGATTCAATAAATTTGTTAGCTTTTCTCTTGTTAACCTGTCCTTTGTTACAGGAGTGTCTTCCATGACCTTTATGATAGGTGAGGAAAGCTGTCACACCTTTCCTTTCTGACACTGTCTTGTATTTGCTCCTTCACAGGAGCCTCTTAGAAGGTCTTTCCAATTCAGTCATGTGCTCTTCTAGTGTTTCCTTAGCCCTGCCAGTCATTTTGGTAAGTTGTAGGAAGGATCTATGTTTTAAACAACGCTCTTATCTTCAGGCTAGGGCACAGTGCTTGGCACATAAAGAGTGGGTATGCAAAATGTGTTTGAATAAGTCATATTACCCCTTTCTGTAGGACTTTGTTTCTCTTCACAGTGGCTGCACAAAGTCCAAATCTTGGCCCACTGTTTTTGGGCTCCCTATACCAGCCCATCAGTTTCCCAACACTTGCTCTCTGTACCTGAAGCATTGCAGCCTTACCTGCTTAGTGCCACAATCCCCCTGAGTTAAATGGCTTTCCCTTCCTCTGTCCATTAAGATCCTGATCATCCTTTAAATATCATCTCTAATCTTTCTTTTTTCTGGTAAGAAATTTTCTTATATCTTATTTTTGCTTTGTAGCATCGTTCTTTTTCTGTGCTACTGTAGTATCTTGCTTATCAGCATTCATGTTTCTACTTTTATGATAGCCAACTGTATATCTCCTATAAGTACGTTCCATGCATATGGAATATCTATTTTGAGATGAAGTCTTAAGTCTTTTTCCTCTGGGTAGTAAGGAATTTGGCCCTGCCTTGGATTCTGGGAGGTAACCTCTAAATCTCTTGGAGGTTTCTAGGAGTGATGGGAGTGTCTTAGTTATTCAAGGTGGCCCCCATTATTTATGCTGATGAGATGACTCAGGGTGGGGGCTGTGAGCCACGTGTGGGAGGGGAGGGAGCCTGGAGATTGAGTTCCGCTGAATGGCTAGTGATGCAGCACACTGTGTCTCCCTCCAAAAACCCCGAATAAAACTGCCGAACACCAAGGCTCTGAGGAGCTGCCTAGGTTTGAGTATCATCCCATGTTGATGACAGCAGGGTGAGGTGTCCCAGAGGACAGTGGAACTACCTGTTGAGAAACCTCCCAGAATGTGCCCTGTGGATCACTTGCTTTGACTGGTTTTAATTTTTTATTGTTGTTGCTGTTATTGTAATGAAATTGTAACGGTAACTGTTCTGCTTTGCTGAGTTTTTGAGGAGTAATGGTAGGGCATTTTCAAACCTGAGAGAGTCCTTGGGAACCTGGATGTCTCACTTGCTGGTCTGAAGTAAGGGTGGCCGTGGTGTCAGATGTGGTCTGGAGAGTGGTGTCCCTGACCTTGGCTGCTGATGCCTGGATCTGTATCCTCTGGACTCAGGGCTTTTTGCATGTGATCACTCAGCAAATGTTGGTGTTGAATTGCTGTTTATGCTTAAATGCATGTTTGTGTATTGTTTTGTGTAACAATATTCATCCTTATGTGTGATATACTTGAAAATACATATGGTTGACCCTTGAACAACAGGGGTTTGAACTTGGAGGGATTGATTCGATGGATATTTTTAATCAGGCATGGATGGAAAATACCATATTTCCTGAAGGAGAAACCCATCTATATAGAGGGCTGACTTCCTATACTTGGGCTCCAGATTAAACAGGAACCAACTATGGGACCTGCGTGTGCACATTTTGGTATAGTGGGTAGGGGTGGGAGGGTGTCCTGAACCAGCTCCCTGCGTTGAGTGAGGGACATACCACTGTATTTTAATTGTATTCTGTTATTTCATTTTAAAATAAGCCGGTTATAACACACTTTATTTTCATGGCTCACTCCTGCATCATTAGTAGCAACTCTTTAAACAATAATTTTGGCTAAAATTGTTTTTTAGATATCTTTGTCATTTACACTTGGCCTGTTGGTGTCACATCACAGAACTTGGGCCTCATGGGCTGTTCTTCAGCAGGGTCTGCCCTCCTGGGTGGACAAAGGTGTCAGAGGATAGTGTCGGCCTTTGTTTTTCCTGAGGGATAGCACGGCCTCTGCGTGTCAGGTGTGTGAAGAAGGGGAGCTGGCATGTCCCCTTCCATCCAACCTAACCCTCTGTCATCCCTTCTTTTTTTTAAAGGTAACATTTGTCGATCACCCATTGCAGAAGCAGTTTTCAGGAAACTTTTAGCTGATCAAAACATCTCAGAGAATGTAAGTACCATTCATTATCTTAAAGAGACCACCCTAACTCCTGGGCAGGAAATTGCCAAAAAAAATTCCATGTTTCTTCCCCTGCAGTGGAGGGTAGACAGCGCGGCGACTTCCGGGTATGAGATAGGGAACCCCCCTGACTACCGAGGGCAGAACTGCATGAAGAGGCACGGCATTCCCATGAGCCACGTTGCCCGGCAGGTACCGTCCTTGGACTTGAAGTTGTGTGTTTTGTGTTTCAGTGGGTCATTGACAGTGGTGCTGTTTCTGACTGGAACGTGGGCCGGTCCCCAGACCCAAGAGCTGTGAGCTGCCTAAGAAATCATGGCATTCACACAGCCCATAAAGCAAGACAGGTAGACAAGCTCTTGTTTAATTTCTAATACGTAGAGTCCAGTAACTTGATAAGTAGTGAAAAAGATTAACCAGACTTACCCAGTAATGAATGTGTTTATTTAGGGTGAGTTTAACCAGCTACAGTGTCCATTTTGTTTCACTTCTGGTTGCACAGTATTGAAAGACTTGCATGATTCGGGAATTTACTTATTAAAATGTACATGAAAGCCAGATAATTTATAATGAGAGAGCCTGACTGCGAGCTGGGGCTAAACAGTGCTCTGTGTTCTGTTCTTTCCTGCATAATTTTTATTAAACATTTAGGCCATAGTAATTATACTGCCTGTATTACGAGTTTGTTGTTAGAATTAAGTTATATGCAAAAACATTTTTTCAACTGTGAAGTGCCTTGGTAACATAGGGTAATACCAACAACATTATGGACACATAGTTACGTCAAGTTTGCAGTCTAATAAAGTCACAACCAAATTCTGCAATTTCAAATGAAGATAACCTTGTATGTGTATTATAAATTAGAAGCCGAAGTTGATTTTCTAAGAGTTCTTTATTTAAATGAAGTACTCTAGGACTGACCTTTTCTAAAATGGAATTCTCATTGGTCAGGTGATTAAACATTTTTATACAATTTGTCCATCCTAGTCTCTTCAGGCTTTTGCTTACCTTGCCAGTTTCTACTGGCCATTGCTGAAAATAGATTTATTTGAAGCAGTCTTTCAGAATTATGAGTGCTCATACTTGCAAGTTTTATGTTTTTAAAGTCAGATTTTTTTTATACACTAAGTATATAATAAAAGTGGATGCAAATCAATTATTTTAAATACATATTAGACACTTTTTTAAAACAACAGTTTTAATTTCGAGTTTTGGAATCAGTATTTGCATGTGTTTTTTTCTTTTCCTGTTTCTTTTAAGAAAATTTTAAGGTATGTTTTATGAGTCAGTATCACACCAGAGCTTTGTCATGTTTACAAGTTCTTTTCCTTTACCAATGTCAAATAACTATTGTACATTTCTTAAAATCTCAGTTTTCTCAGTGCCTTAATGAAATATTTTTAGGGTGCCTATTTTGTTTTAACTATTACATTTAATGTCTTTTAGAGTACATGTGCTTTCTGCCCAGGTAGTTCAAAGGATACTTTTTTTTTTTTTTTTTTTTACTTTATTATACATTATTTTCTCTTTTCAGTAGACTGCATTGATTTGTGTACACAGATTGTGAGTACAACCCTGAGGTCCCATAGCAGCCCTCTCCCTACTCCTTCAGAGGTCCCCACAAAAAAATTTGTTCTACTTTTTAACTTCACCGAAGTGGAATTATAGTACATACAGTTGCCTGTCAGCTTTTTTTTTTTTTCCTTGTGAGAATCTCTGTGTTGTTGATTGTAGCAATGTGATTGTCATTGCTGGATACTGTGTCATTTCTCAGTTGGTCTGTTCTACTCTTAGTGGGTGTCTGGGTGGTTTCTAGTTTGGGGCTACTGCAGATAGTGCTGCTGTGGGTCACGGCGCACACCTGCGTGTGGTTCTGTTGGAGTCAACGCCCAGCAGACACAGTGTAGCCGGGTGCACGGCCTCATAAAATACATTGGAGATGTTCCCTCTTTTTTTCTCTAAAAAAGTTGTTGAAGATTGATAGTATTTCTGCTTATCGTTTGAAAAATTCATCTAATGGGTTGTCTTTTTGTTGTCTGTTATTTCCTCTGGCAGTCTTTGTTTTTCTTTCGGTATTTAGTTTTCAGTAGTTTCGTTGTGGTAGGCCAGATACAATCCTGAAGTTGTGGCTTGATGTTTTTCATCAATTTTGGTAAATCCCTGGCTGTTATCTTTTCATATAGTACTTTTCTTTGTCCTTTCTCCTGAAATTCACCTAACGTGTATAGTGAACGTATATTTCTTATTCTGTTTTATTTTTTATCCTTTTTACTCTTCTTCCGTCTGATATGTTCTGCTGACTTGTTTTCTGATATATTAGTCTTTCTGCTGTTTTCAAACAGTATAAAGATTGTCTGTTATTTACTTAATTCTTTAAGTTTTATTCTTTTTTTTTTGTAGATTCTAGTTTCCTGGTGAAATTCTACGTCGTGCTCTATGTTTTCTTGAACATACTGTCATAGCTGCTTTAATACAGTGGCAAATCTCATTACAGACCGTTTGTGAGTCTGCTTTCCTTTTCTGTTTTTTTTCCTCTTTGTTTTGTTGTTTATCTTCGCCTGTTTGCGCTGCTCTAACAGTACCTGAGACTGGATAATTTCCAGCAAACAGGGATTTATTTCTTAGAGTTGGGTTGTGAAGTCCAAAGTCAAGGGGCTCAAGAGGCTATGAGGTCCTTCTTGCTGCATCATCCTGTGGTAGAAGGTGGAGGAGTCAAGAGAGTGCCCCAGAGTGAGTAAGAGCAAGAAAAACAGAAGAGGGACACAGGAGAGAGAGAGGATCCGTCACTGCCAAGAGCCCACTCCCAAGATAGTGGCATTAATCTTGAAGGTCCTGCCTCTCACTGTTGTTGCACTGGGGGTGAAGTTTCCAACACAGGAACTTTGGGGGACACATCCAAACCATAACATAAAGAGTTAAAGAGTTCTGCTACTGAATCATTTGAGATCCCTGTTCTGAGGTCTCGTCAGTGCCCAGTTTTAGCGGGAAGAGAAGTGGCAAGTGGCAGGAGTCTGCAGATTGGGGCCTGTACCTTTTTTGTAAAGAGTGTTCATTGGAACACAGCCAGACTTATTAATTCACCTATAGTGTATGGCTGCTTTTATGCTAGAGCAGCAGAGCTAGAGAGGCTGTGTGGCCCACAAAGCCTGATTGTCACTGGAGCACACTGATGGTTTTGGAGGGGCTTTTGTGATTTATATGGGGTTTCTAGTTGTTTTTCGTAGTAGGAATGATTTGCAACAAGCTGTTTCATTTACAGTTGCCAGTGGAAATCCACTACTGTGCATTTGTTACATAAATTATAGCTGTTTCTTTTACTTCTCAATTATTGTAACATCTAAAAATCATGTAACAGTCACTAAGTCTTTTTTTTTCTTATGAAAAACTTAAAATTAGTCCAGAATTTAGAACAAGTTTAGTATTTAAATCGTAGAGCATTTCTCACATAACTAATTTGGAGAAATAACATAACACTGTCCAGGCATGGTGGGTCACACTTACAATCCTAGTAACACTTTGGGAGGCTCAACATTGCTTGAGCCTGGGAGGTCAAGACCAGCCGGGACACCATAGTGAGACCATCTCTACGAAAAAAAAAATTAAAAAATTAGCTGGGTGCTGTAACATGTGCCTGTAGTCTTAGCTATTTGGGAGGCCAAGGTAGGAGGATGGCTTGAACTCAAGAGATTGAGGCTGCAGTGAGCCGTGATCTTGCCACCGCACTCCAGTCTTGGTGACGGAGTGAGACCTTTTCTCTAAAAACAAAAAAGAAAAATGTCAGTATTACACTCATTCTAGATTTTGAAATAAGTGAGTGTCTTATTTATGGGAGTGTTGACAAAATACAGTCCATTCTGTGATTGGTAGTGCATACTAAATCCAAAGCTTCTCATCGTTTAAAAGAACAAGTTTATTAGGAAAGTTACACTTTCCACCTCTGTTCTGCAGTAGGTATGTTTTTGTTCTTTCTTATTCTGCATTTATTTATAGTAGTCGAAATTTACAAAACAATTTTTTCATTTATATTTTAAGTAGGCGTATTTATAGATTGTGTCAGAAAACAATGATAAGCTTTCAGGTTATAATCAGAAATACTGAGTGGCATTCTCTTCTGTGTCAGGTTTAAATTACGGATCTTCGATCAGAATAAAGGATTATCAGTTACTACTCCTGTGTTTCTTTCTTAGTGAGCACCTCTGACCACCTTGCTTAATACTCCTCCTCCTCCCTGCCCCAAAGCTGTCTGTATCCCCTCTCTGCTTTCTTCCCTCCAGGGCATCTGTGCCTCCTGCGTGTGGAAGGGCAGTGCCACAGGACAGGCTCTGTCTGCCTGGCTTGGTGTTTGTCACTGGGGCCCAGGACGTTCAGTGCTTGTGCAAGAAAAATAGAGTAGGGTAATGAAAGGGTTAAACACGTGACATTTCAGTATTTTGACTGTATTATACTTTGTTATTAAGGAATTGAAGCTGATGTATAAACATTGTGTCTACACATTATACTATTTTATGATTCACAAAACAATTTTTATGGAACTTTATAATACAAAATTTCTTTGCAGTACAATTTTGGGAACTAGATTAACTCTATTTTAACTTAAAAGTACCCTCAAAAGTATTTAATTAGATAGTTAGTGAGTAACAAGCACAAATACAACAGTTTTTTTTTTTTCTTTTAGTACTGCTTTGCATCCTGTAGGCTTGAATGGTATAAATATAAACACTGTATTTTGACTTCTTTATTCAATTTTAGATTACCAAAGAAGATTTTGCCACATTTGATTATATACTATGTATGGATGAAAGCAATCTGAGGTAATCCTGTTTCTGAAGAATATTTCTGTTCAACTCTTAATTCAGTAATAGGCCAAGTAATTTCTTGTCCAAATTTACTTTTTCTATTATTTTAAAGTTTTTAATAGTCAGTGATGGTCTCTATTTATTTAGAACAGCAAAAAACTTAGTAATCTAAAATTGTCTCATAGGTATTTACAAGGAGATACACCTTAGAGAAGGAAAATCCAGTTATTAATAGCATGATTTGATTGGAGAACTAGCTTGGCTGTGATAGTTTTGTATCAGGCACATTGCTCTGCATGAGAACGAGATTGTTGTTATGTCCCCAAGTTCGCACAACTAATGTGTGGATGTGGTGGGATTCAAGCCTAGGTACAGTGAAGCAGGGCCCTGCCATATGTACCCGCCCCAGTCCCCTGCGTATGGCGCCATGAGGAACTCATCAGGATTTACTGTAACTCCAAGATTCTAACTTGCATTGCCACTTATTCATATATACTAAATGTTTTTGATGAAGATAAACTATGCTTTTAATTACTTTTGTACAAATGAACACATAGGGATGCAACAGTTTTTATTTTTTTTATTAATTAGGACTTTTAGTAAAATGCATGCATTTTTTAATTTTTATTTTTCAGTCTCTGTTCTCATTGTTTTCCCTGACACCATAGCTTATAGGTATCGTTAAAAAAAAAAAAAAAACTTGTTAGAAGACTCCATGTGCCTTGACTGGCACTGAGCACCGTGTTTCTTTGTGTGGGGCAAGCGGAGCTCCTGCAGTCTCACGTTTGCATGTGCCATTCTCTCCCTGGAAGCTCCTCCTTGCTGCTTGAGCCATTTGGCTCCGATTTGCCCCTCATGGGTCAACTGAAATTCATTTCTTTATAGAGGTATGCCGCTGCCCTGTCAGTAGGCCAGATTGTGCATTAGACTTAGGCCTGCCCTGAGTTCTCGTCCTGCACCTACTCCTGAGCTGTAAAAGTTCATGCACCGGAGCGCTTGGCTGTTCCATTCCCACGTAAAGCACATGCCTGACTCATCGACTCATCTGTCGCAGGTGCTCAGTTGAAATTTGTTAAATTAATGGAGGCATTTAGTTAAGTTTGCCTTTTTCTTTTGTAGCAATGTGAAAGCTAAAGTTGGAAGTCTAGAGTGAAGCTGAGTTTTCAGCTTGGGCAGAGGCTTGAGGAATAAAAGGAGGAAGAGTAATTAAGGAATGGGTCATGATGCAGTGTCAAGACACCTGAGGATGGAATTGGTGGCCCTTTGTTTTGGGGCTGGCTCATGTGCTTAGGTCCCTTTCTATCACCTTTGTTTTCTCTCTGAAACTTGGTTGATTGTCTCAAAACATATTTTGTGGGAGAAAATATAATTACTGAATGTTTTGTGTAACAAATCAGTGAGAATAAGCTGCTGTTGGAAGCTCTCTTGCCTAGAGAGAGGGCGGTGGCATACAGGTGTAGAAAGGGCCGCACAGGCCTGCCGTGTGTTCTGCTTCATTTCAAATCAGGTCACTCTGTCTGGATTTTGATATGAGTGTTTCATAAGACCCTAACAGATGTCCCTGTTTAACTTGAAACCATAGATTAGAAAACTAAGTTCATGTTTCAATTTTACAGAGATCTGAATAGAAAAAGTAATCAAGTTAAAACCTGCAAAGCTAAAATTGAACTACTTGGGAGCTATGATCCACAAAAACAACTTATTATTGAAGATCCTTATTATGTAAGTACAGTTTATGTTTTAGAGTTAGTATGAAGACCCAACACATCTGTATTCTGCCATATTACATAACAGATTAGATTGTCTTAAGGATGTTTTTCTTACTGAGGTATTGCCATTTTCTTCTCTTTCCTGTCCGTTTAGGGGAATGACTCTGACTTTGAGGCGGTGTACCAGCAGTGTGTCAGGTGCTGCAGAGCGTTCTTGGAGAAGGCTCACTGAGGCAGGTCCGTGCCCTGCTGCAGCCTGACTAGACTCCACCCTGAGGCCCTGCGTTTCCCAGTCAGTGTGTAATAACGTCCCAGAGCCCAAAGCCCCAGCTCTTTGTTCAGTTGACTTACTGTTTCTTACCTTAAAAAATAATTCTAGGTGGAAATCAGTTGTGATTGGCAGAAGAATAAATAAAAACCTTTGACTTCAGACAGTTTATGGGGTATATAAAGGATTCTTAGACTAGTTGAACATTTCACTTTGCCCCAATTACAAAAATAGTTGAATAAACAACATAAAATACAATGAAGGAAAACCCCACTTGAAGGTCCAGGTCAACATCTAAGCCCACTGAGACCTAGATCATCGAGTCTACCTCCTCAGTAGGTGTGTGTGGATGGCCCGATGGAGGGCAGCTGCCCTCTGCTCCCCCGCGCTACCTCTCTCTTCCCCAGGGCCTTTTACGTATTCACAGTAGCCCCTCCGTAGGAGCTCACAGTATGGATTAGAAGTGTTTTAATTTATACACACCCATAGTGCATACTTGTATATTGAAAAGAGAGAGAAGACATAAAGATTTATGGAATCTGTCATTAGCACCTTTAATACTTCTTGATTTTGTCAAGCTTACTTCATGAGTAGGTCAGCTCGTTTGCTCCCATCTGAACCACTTTACCTCTGAAACTTAATTCCATCCAGAAAGACGGACACTTGTATGCTAGTCTATCTGTGGTCAGTTAGACTAGCTGAGGAATATGACGTTTATATGCACATATAACCCAAATGTCCAATATACATTGGCTTATTTTTAAAAATAATTTTAAAAATTGGGAAAAGTTTTATCTGGCATGCACAAATACTGATTGTTAAGTATTCTTCATCAGCATTTAATAAATGTATAGGCAGATACAAGTTATTTCTGTGTATTTTGAGTTAATGTCAAAATCATATGAATATTTCAAAATAAACAGGGGAGTTATAAAAATACAGCTAGAGATATGAATCTGGTGTCTGCCTGATTTTTATTGACAAGGAAGCATTTGAAAACAAAGTTTCCTTTTTACATAATCGGTGATGTTATGTGTGCATATTTATCTTCAGGATGAGGATAAATGATGAAAATAAGCACATTGCTGCCCGATATGATAATGTCTGGTTTCTGAAAGAAATTTGAGGTCCTGCAGCTGGAAAACCCCCTTGCCCAACACCATCCTCGAAAAACATCACCCCATGCTGAGCCCTCCTGTACAGTATGCACAGTTGCCTGGCCAGGACTGGACCTCAGTATCGTGAGGGTCCCATGCAGTGCTGGGGAGAAGAGACACGTTTGATCCCTGACTCATTCGTGCCTGGAGGATGAACTGCTGCCAGATGAAAGTGAGCAGTTTCCCCACGGTGCCACGTGGAAGTGCCAGGCTGTCTTCACAGGAAGAAAGTTCAAAAACCCAGTGAGGCTTGCTCTTGTTGGAATTACTCAGACATGCAGAAAACTTAGGGGATTATTAATAGATTGGATATTTGAATATGATATCCTTAAAACAAAAAGTTGGCAGGAAAACATCAAGTAATTAGCTGTAATTAGAAAACAGGATTGAATAACATCACTTCAGAAGTTATACCCTGTTCTCTTCATTCAGTAATTGCTTTTAGGAATCTCAAACTCAAGATTTCTTACTCTTCTATTCTTTAATGTTTGTCAATAAAATCCTACAGTTTTTCTTAAATGTTTATCTATATAAAATACAGATCCTCAAACAAATCCTAGGACTCTTGACTTCTTGATGGCTGCTCCCAGACAGTACTATCTGCTGACAAGGGCAGTGAACAGAGAAACCCATTGCTTTGCTGCATTCAGCTTCTTACATTGGATCTGGTTAGATTTGTTTAAAGTAAGTCTACATGTAAAATTTTGAGACTGCTTAGAAGTCCTAAGCTTCCTCATAGTTTAGCATTTTCATGATTACAAAGTCACTTGGAAAATAATGGATACAACTTTATTTGGAATATTTCCCAGCAAATCAGGGGCCTATCTTAAGAAATTATGTCACCAATATATAGTAGTCTCCACTTTAAAAAAATGCTAATTATCCCTTACAGAAATTCTCAGGCTTCAAGTTTCATGTATTTATGCCTTTTATATTCTGTGACCTTTTGCCAGTGTAATGATCTCTCAGTAAATCTGTAAAACATGAATTCCCAACTCAATAGAACTCAATAGAGAGGTAGAGAGTCACTTTGAAGACTGTTCATTACAACAAACACTTCATTTATTACTTGTGTTTATTTACAGTATTTACATATTGCACAATAGCTGGAATACTATTTTACATTTATTATACAAAGGACCAACAGAATTAGCCTGGATATGTCCACAGACTTACACTCCACTATCTCTAAAACATGACTGAAATTTTAATTTTTTATGCCGTTCCAAATAATACTCTGGGAATTGTGAAAGTAATACAGAATATCAAATCATACCCTATGCTATATGAAAATATACTTTAAGATTCTGTTTATGTTTCTAAAGGAATATTTTTTTTCGATTTCACCCAATCAAGAAAATGAAATATTCTCTGCATTTGTTCTATAACACTATACGTCAAATGTGGAGCATTCCTTTTGTGTTTTTAAAAAATAAGAGTGGCAGATAGCACTGTCAGGTACACTGATTTATCGAATATATATCTGCAAACAGTGTCAACAACATACAAAACTCAAAGGACTTATGGAAGAGTCTGTCTGAAAAAATAAATCTCTTGTCCATGAGGGGATGTGTATAAAGACAGTTCTGTTTCCCTGTTGGTTTCCAAGGCACTTCTCATGGCTCCTGGTGCGCTGCTCCTGGACAGCTGTGCTCACTGCTGAAAACAAGTACATTCCATTTGATACGACTATCCACACTTACGTGAATTCCCAAGACCTGGCACTTCAGTTAGAGGACACAACGTGTTTATAAACACAGGCAGTCTAAGAGTGCATCTGTGTTTCTCTATGTGCCAAAAAGTGCAGTCTATTGTATTTAGAAAAATAACTTCTTTTTGCAGTTAACTACATGGCTGCGACGTTAAAGCAATGGAAGTCATCACAGAGCCACGTGAATGCTTATTAAAGCTTGAAGAAGAGTGCTTAGTCTTGTGCTATCAGAATCCTCAATAGTCCAGGCCGCAGGGATTTACCTGACAGTTCTGCAACCTCAGTGTTCACGGGATTATAAGGCTAATAATCAAGATTAGGCATTTGTTTCTAGCATTCTGTGCTGAAATGTCTAAACCATTGGTATTTATTTTTAAAAGAATGATAAACTTCAAGGTTACTAAGATTAGGCTGCATTTGGGAGCATACACTCTACTCACTGCTCAAAACTCTGATTCTCTGACAGTATTCCGGAACTCAGGCTTCTGATTAACTGACCTGTAAGTCTGGACAATGAAGTGTTTCTGTGACTTAGGGAGGGCAGTTGGGACATTGTTCTCTTTGGCCTGAAGGGGTCTATTAATGAGCTTCAGAAACTGGCAAATGGATTTGCTCTGAGATGAGGAGGGCAAAGCCTTTCCTGCTGAAGACCTACTTTTCTTAGGCTGTGGGCCTTTCTTTAAGAAGACAAGGTCACGGCTTGCAGTCTTGCCCTGCCGTCCTGTGTCAGGACAGAAGCGTGTGTGGCCGGCTGTCAACCAGTGAAACCAGAACTGGGGACCGCAGGGTCCTCCCGATGCCACCTCATTGCAGGAGCGTGGGCACCCTGGGATGCCTGCCCTGCCCTCTGCTGTCTTACTGAGGCCTGCCAAGCTCAGCAAAACTCTGCACTGTATCTACACTGCAGTGACCAGTCACCTAACAATTTCTTTGCCGTTTAAACCTTTTGGAATTTGAAGAAATCAATTTAAAAAAAATAGAAGTTATGAAATTAGAGTTAACAGGGTATCAATGTTTTAAACTTTACCCATGTCTTGGCCAAAATGAACCCAGCTAACAGCCATGACAGCTGTGGCTGTTGAGCAGATGGCCTTTTGGGAACAGGAGCTTGTGCGCCTGGGCCTTGTCCTAACCTTTACCTGCGTCTCGTTGTCAGTCAGGCTTTGTCCGGTGATCCGGAGAGTGATGTAAAGGGTGCTGGGGGCTCAAGGGGTTCTGCCACAGTTTTCCTGTGGGGCATCACTGTGGCGTTTGGCAAAGCATGACGTGCCCATGCAGAGACCCACGCAGGAGCCCGTGTCCCACAAAAATGACCATGTCCTTTGGTGCAACTGCCTCCAGCAGCAGCCGGTGGAGGGGGACGGGGGTTGGCTAATGGGCACGTGGACAGAGTAGCTCTTCTATCAGCTGAGACAGTGAGGAATTGGCTCTCCTCACTTCTAAGTAAGTGGAAAATTTCCAAGGACGTCCCTGGCTCATCTCTGGGAGCAGTTTGATTTAATTATAAAGAAATACGTTAAAAAATTAACATTCTCATCTCTGGCATATCACCTGGGGTGCCAGGAATATACATCTATTCACTGATTTATACAGAAAAAAAATCTCTGCGGCACGCAGGAGGAGGACTGGAAGGGCAGGGCATAGGGGCGTGACCACAGCACTTCTCAGCTTAGACTGGCATTGAAACCATGCCTTCACCGCCACCGAAGAAAAAGCGCAGCCTGTGCAAAGCGCAGTCTGAACCGCCATGGCTCACTGGCCTCCGTTGCCCAGTGCCTTTCACTAGCAGCAGTTGCTTCTGCTAGGAAAGACAGTGGAGGACCTGGCAGGACCCGCAGTGCCTCCTGCCAGGGCAGGGGTCACACACCCAACCCTTCTGCTGCCGCCTAAATATTCGTAAGCACTGCCTCTCCTTAGAGATCCCATCTGTATAGGAAGGAGCACTCCGCTACCCTCATCTGTTGTACATGAGACGCACTAGAGAAACCACTGGAAAAATACTCCCTTTTCATGAATGTGCTGGACAGCCATCAATGGGCAGGAGACCTATCTTAGTTGTGCTGGTGTGGCCAGCATCTGGCAGTGCCTGCACATACAAGACACACAGTACGTATAAAATTGGTGAAATTACAGTTTCATCCTGCTGTCTAAAGTGACTGAATTCTGTGGCATTTATGTCAGGAAAATAAAACCTTACCCTTCAAAACATCTGCTGGTGGGTCTTATATGTTGCCTATCAGCCCTTGAGGGGCCCAGGTGCAAAGTGTAGTTAAATATTGATATGCATTTACATTTTTACTTACTAGAGGCTATGAAAAAAAAAGTTGATAGAAAACTTTAAAGAGGATAGCTGTTCTTTATGAGCTTATTGTCATAATGATAGATTCCAACTCAAACATTTACCAGATGTGATAGAATTTGCATGGATAATGTTGGTCATCTTCACTTGTGTTAGTGAGTGAATGCATGCCTTGAAGTGAACAGCACAGTTTTAGTCTGTTTCTGGCTTATGCACTCATTCACATGCTGAAAACTGGCTGCCTTGCTGTGTTTGAGAGCAGGACCTGCCTGGTGCCCGTGTGTCGTGCAGTGAACAGTTAACAGCAGCTGCCTGGGCACTGTAGACAAGCCAGCAGGGCGGCTTTCAGTACTGTGAGATAGTAAGTGCTGTGCCAACTGTGTAGAACACAGCTACCTCAGCCAAAGAACGTGTGTTCCTAAACTCCCATGAATTTTTCATGTCCCAGGCGGGATTCCCATCTTTGGTGTGTGCTCCAGTGCGTGTCCAAGCTTACCTTATCCTCCATGCACACTGGACTGACAGCCAGCCGGGTAAGAAGCCTGGCACATCTTTTATAGTCTATAGTGAAAATAAATCAGAGACCCTTGTCAGTAATTTAAAACAAAAATAGCATCTTTTGCAAGTATATCAGCTACTAAAGCCATTTATTTCTTTAAATATCTGAATTCCCTGGAAGCAATACAGAGTCTGTAGTCTGCAGGCATGGGTTCTAAGTTGTTGACTTAATAATTTATGGTGCTTCAAGGGCTTGAGCTTCAGTGGGAGAAGTCGGATGATGTTAGTGGGGCTGTGGAGGGAGGAGGGACAGACATGAAGACAGCATGGCCCAGCTGGCTGCCCACTGCTCCTCTCAGAAATAACTTCATTCTGCTTTCTACGTGACAGTCCTTCCATGCCCTTGTGCCACTTCTAGGTTATGTGCAGGCTGATTCCCAGCTTGAGTTGACCATGACACAAAGCCTTGTGCCTGTAAATTCTAAAGGAAGTGGGTCAAAAGGCAGCAGAGCAGAGGCACGGACTGGATGGCGAACGGAAGCAATGTGCCTGTTTCTAACTGCAGACTGACACTCCTTACTAAGTACACAGTCTCCCGTTCCACTGTTCTGCTCATGCTGCCTATAGAAACTGAGAAGGTGCAATGATCCTGGCCATAAGGGAATTTTGATGCTCTATGGAAAGCTGTAATTGTTAGTAAATTATTAAAGTTTATTTCTCAAGAATAGCAAAATCCTACTTAAAAATGGGAGAATTTATACCCAACTGAAAATCTGAATTGAATGGGCAGGTTGAAAATGATAAATGCATACAATATGTTAGATAAGTAGCTAGCTCTACTTCCAAAAATACGCCTCCTAAATATTTGTGGCATATACTGCTAGGGTTTTTCAAAGCGAAAAGCATGCTGTAACGGCGGCACTGGGCCATCTGAACCCAGTGTCTGCCTTTCTCTCTCAGCAGCACCATGCTTTTCAGAAAGTAGTTTTGCTCAACAGATTCCGTATCATGGGTGCAGTGGATTGTGCGATTCCAATGGCAGATCTAATCAATGAACTGCAAAAACTTCCACTCGCATGTCTGGGGTTGCAGTTGACTACACATCCAGCTCAACCCACATGTTTTCAGCAATGTCTGGCAGACTTCAATGTGCAGACCAGTCACCTGGGGATCTTGTTAAAATGCAGATTTTGTTCAACAAGTCTAGATGGGACTTTAGTTCTGCATTCCCAGCGAACTCCCCATGGGACCACACTTTGAGTGAGAAGGCACTAAAGTCCTTCACGTCTGACTTCCAGGAGCCCAAGGATTTTCTTTCATATAGCCTAACAAAGCACAGAAGTGGTCGGATTTCAGCTCTCCAGCTCTTTGTGGGCTAAGAAGAGGCAGAAGGGCAACAAAGTTGCCACCGGTCTCCAAAGGCACAGATCTGCCGGGCTTCTCCCTCTCCACGGCCTAGGCTGAGCTGCGACCAGGAGCTTAGGATCAGAGTTGCTGTGAGCACAAGGAAATATCAGGTAGGGGTACAGCACGATGCCCTGGAAAAAGGTCTGCAGAGTTAGCCCTGAGATCTACATCTTAGCTTTACTGCTATCTGACAGCACAGAAGCACTTACTCATTTATAAATAAAAAGATGAGACTGAATGACTCAGAGGTCACTTGGAAATTTGGAATCTATGATCCGATTACTGTAAGAAAATATTTAATATAAAATATATGCACATTAATTAAAACAATACAAATGACAAGATTTTCTAGCTCCAAGAGCCAGATTAATGATTCCCGATAGAAGGTGATTGCATTCCAAAAGAAGAAAACAGAAATCCTAGTGTGCTGGGTCCATGTGGAAGGGTGAGTCCCAGCAGCAAGAATACAGAAAGAAAACCCTTCAGGAGGTATGTGCTGCTGGCCTTGGCATGAGGATGGTGTCACCAGTGGCATGGTCAGGTCAAGGCTGCGTTCTGTGTGTCTCCGTGCCGGTGGTGTGAGTGCTGAATGTCTATGTGCCTTAACCTTGTCCAAAAAGTGCTGGTGTTGCCACTTCAGTGAGCTAAGGTTCACTGACATGTACCTGGCACTCAGAAGAAGTCCTATGAATGATGGTTATTATTTGAGGTAATTTTGCTGCCTAAACAAAGAAAAACACTTTGTGTACATTGGCTTTTGGTTGGTTGGTTTTTGGAGGGGAAGGCAGGGCAGCAAGTGTGGTCTGCTGCCTGGCCCGGCTGTAAAGCCCTGACGGCGGCTGGCGATATTCCTAGTGTCTGCCTGGCTTTTCTCCTGTTAGCCTTAAATGAATAAAAGTTGGAGTCCACATTAAAAAAAAAAAAAATAGGTTAGGGTCCTGTCACTGTAGCTAATAAGACTACAGTGATGAGAACAAGTAGCTACTTTTGGGGAAATAAAATGTTTTGTTATGAATAAATAGCCAGAAGCAGGTTAGTAAGACTGAAAAGAAACAGGAGAGAAAGCTTAGAGCTGGGCTGACAAGGGCAGCTGTGTTTCTGAAGAGTGATGGAGCCAGCCAGAGAAAGAGTTTTGAAATCACAATGACATTTGTGAGTGATGAGGTTGTATATACTGATGGGAAGAAAAAGTCTCTGGTCAGAGCAGTGGTCCAGGTCAATCTTATTCTTGGGGTCATTTTAGCAACTCATTCTTAACAACATCTGTTTGACTGCCACAGTAGAGCACGCACAAACATGAGCACTGGACGAGAGCTGACAGACAAAAGGAGGAGAATGGGAGTCCAGCCCATCCCTAGAGCCTGTTACTCCAGTGACTATAAGTAATTTCCAGTTTGGCATTAGTTGATGCAGAAGTTAGTTATTTTCTGCAATGGTCTGGACATCTTGGCCCCTAATTCCATAGCGAGGAAGGAATAGGCAAATTTGAGCTAAGAAGCCGGAGGAAATGGAAGGAGGTGGGAACCGCTGCCCGCACTGTGCTTGCAGTTTATGGAAATGCAGTGCTGTTACTTACATGCAGGGATGGTGCAGTCTCTGGTGTTGTGATAAAGTCTATGGAAGTGTTTGCTGCACTTTGGACTAAAATAAAGAGGACCTGGAACACGGAAGAAGAAACAGATCATGAAGACTCACAGGTGCAAAGGAGCTCTGGGAAAAGTGAGGACGGAGGAGAAAACTTACCTGTAAGGTGTTTTAGAAACTTGTCCTTCATCCTCAGATCTCGAGCAACAATTTCTGTTTCAGGGAAAATAAAGTGTTATATTGCCCGAAGGAAGCATTTTTTGACAATGCGATCTTAAGTGAATGTTGAAGAAAATTAATGGGAACTCCACATTAGCCAAGTTGCTTTGCACAAAAAAAAAAAAAAAAAAAAAAAAAGGCGGGGAGGGGGTGGCTGGGTTGCAACACATGACAGTGACGAAGGCTCAGCATCGCAGTAGCTACTCCTGAAGTTCCAGGATTACGTTTGCTCCCTCCCCGCAGGATGAAGACAACCACAGCATTATAGAGTTAAGAAAACTGTTTTGTTTTTTTTTTTTCTTTTAAACATTTAACTTCTAGTCACTTTTAGACACTTTAATTTTGAGGACCTTGGGAATCCCACAACATTTCAAGTTTTGAGAGAAAACTTGACCCTTCAAACAAAAAATGGGTTCTAGAACATTACTTTTTCTAGATAAATGTTTAGGTGTAAATTAGTGGAAATATGCATTATCCTGGTTTATCAGGTAAGAATACTAGAGAAAGACTCTGCCAAGCAAACTTCTACCACCAGGGCTCTCCGCACACAGTGGGTGGGGAAAACCCTGCGGATGTCCCCTTTGAGTCCAGCTTTGTTTCTGCGTGTTTACACCGGCTCCATCTTCACTCCCCTGCTCCGGGCTCCTGGCTGAACTCGGAGGGGGTGTGAAGCCAGGCCCTCTCAAGTGGGGCGTCCACATCCACGTCGTGCACTCGCAGGGCATCTCCCTAGGGAGTCTTCATTCACTCCTAACTTCACGCAGCCGGGATAAAACTGACCTTCTCATATTTGACCTGATTGTGTCACAAAAGCATTAGAAGCTTTCATGCTTTCCTGGGAAATTCCCCGTGGGCCACCACTCTGGGCAGGGCCGTGAAGGAGCCTGGATGCCTCCTCCTCAGTTGGGAGCGCTTTGCTGGAAATGCTTCCATTTCCAAAGTGCCGGTGACAGTTGTGTGCGGAAATCACCAGCCCGCGCCGCGCTCCACGCGCCAGGAGAAGACCGGGCGCTTCTCCGCCAGGCCTCAGTCGCGGACCTATTGCTGCTATTTTCTTTTTCTTTAAAAAAATAATCCTGCTGTTCCATAGTCAAAATTGATTTCTCGTTTAGAAACGTGTGTCTCAAAGATAATTCCGCTTCCCCGCACCCTCGGCCCCGGGCGCTCGGCCGCACTCACCCACTCGCTGCTCGGGCGCAGGCCCCAGCCCCGCCGCCTCCGCGCAGCCCAGGGCGCAGTCCCGCCCGAGGAGCTGCAGGCCCTTGAGCTCCGCCGCGTGGTGCCTCCACAGCTCCTGGACGATCTCCGCCACCAGCTGCAGCAGCGCGCGCCCGTCCGCCGGCTCCTGGGGATCCGCGCCCCCCCGGCCGCGCCCCGCCGCCCCCAGGACCAGCAGCAGCCCCAGGAGGAGCGGGCGCCCGGGTCCGCGCATCGTGCGCTCGGGGCCGCGGGGTGGGAGGCTCCGACGCGCGCCGGGAGCTGGGTTCGCTGCGGGAGAAGGGGCGCGGGGGGCCGGGGAGAAAGTCAGCGGGGGAGGGGGAGCGCGGGGCGGGGCGGGGAGGAAGCGGGAGGAGCCGCGGGCGCTGGACCCGGCCCCGCGCACCCCGAGGAGGGCGCCCGCCGAGCCGGCAGGTGAGGACCCGCGGTTGCCCCGACGACCCTGTCCGAGGTCCCGCCCACCGGGAGCGGTCGCAGCTGGGGCCGAACGGAGCCCCCGGAACCCGCCCCCGGCCCCTCCTAACTTTCACCCAAAAGGCCGTGTCTGCAGAGCGCGGTATGCCCGGAGCGAACGCAACTTTCTTTTCCCTTTGGAAGCCACGGGCGCAGGGCAGCTCCCGGCCCGAGGGACCTCGCAGGGGCCGCGCCTCCGCGCCCACCTCTCTCCAAGAACGCGGCGCCGCGCGCCGGGCCCGGAGGCCGCGCTCAAGTTCCCAGCGTCGCCTTTGTGCGGTGGTCGCGGCGGGCGCCGAGTCCCCGAAGCCCGCGGAGGAGACCCTCGCTCCGGCCCGGGCCGCGCCGCGCTCTGGGAGCCCCTCCGCCCCCGCCTCCCGGCCGCGCCCGGGCCTGCCCCGCGCCACCCCGGGGCCACCTGCGCGCCGGGGCCGGGCTGGTCACCTGGAGCCGCCGGTGTCTTCGCCGTCTGTGCGCGTCTGTCCCCGCGCGCCGAGCTGCGCCACTACTCCATGCCCGGCGGCGGTCGGAGCGCACGGGACGCGGGGACTCGGGGACTGGCCGCTCCGAGCGCTGCACCCGCGACTGCCTTGGGTGCGCCGGTGCCGACTCCTGCCTCGGACCTCGGGGCGCTTCTTATCCCCGCGCCCGCCGACGTCAGGCGGGTCCCCGAGGGCTCCGAGCCGGGCTTTAATTAGAAACCGCTGGACTGTCCGTGCCCCCATGCGGATCTCCGTCACCCCCGCCTCCGCCCCCCGCCCGCATCTCCCGCGCGTCTCCCCTGCGCCGCGTCTCCCGCGCCCCTTCCCTCCCCACCTTCCCTGTCTCGCGTCTCCTCCTCTTCCCCCCGCGTCTCCTCCCCCCGCCCCTCCCCCAGGCTGTTTCCCTCCGTTCCTGTCACTTGTGACAGGATGAGAAGAAACGCCTTTACCAGGAACTCGGTTCTGTTTTTGTCTAAATGTAGATCTTGGGCTATTAAAATGGGAGCTGCCTGATTGCTTCTACATTTAATAAGTCGATTAGAGGCTATCCGCCTTGGAGGGGTCCCATCCGCCGGCGGTCCTGGGGTCCGCTCTCATGACCCTCCCAGGGGTCCGCCCCGCCCAAGCTCAGGTCCCCAAGTTCGGGTCCCACGTCCGCGTCCCGAGGTGGGGCGTCCTGGAGGCGGGAGCGGGGCGCGCCGGGCGGCGGGGACTCCCCAGGCCCCGAGGTGCGCGCGGCTGACCGCCCAGTAGGGGCATAACCCGCACCCCCTTCCCAGCCCCGCGCGAAAGGACTAGCCGAGGCTGCTCCCCGGCCGGGACCGCGCCACCTGCGCGCTGCTCGGCGCTGGACCTTCGGCCGGCGGGTACCTAGCGCCCTGGAGGGAAACGCCCGCAGGACGGCAGGTGCCTCCCGGGTTGGTCTTTGAGAAAGTTTGGTTCTTTGGATGAAGCCCAGCACGTCCGTGAAAGTTCAGCAATTTGCGTCTTTTGTTTTATTCTTGTAAAATGTATGGTCAGTGCGTTGCGCACTTTCCCATCCGATTGGTGCTTTCTGGGCAGGAGCTGGACGTCTTCCAAGCCAGTGATCTGGGTGGGAAAGGTGTTCTGAGTGCAGTCCGGAAAGGCGGAGCGCGCGAGGATTGAACCTGCAGCGTGGTCGGGGCGTCGCGGGGCGCCCGTGGCAGGAGCTGGCAGAGCAGGTGCGCGCGGGGAGGCGGGAGGAGGCTCCGCGCCCGGTCTCCGCTGCTCGGCGAGGCCCGTCCGCGCCCGTCTCTGCGTTGGCATCTCGAGTCCTCCTCGCCCCGCACCGGCTCCGCTTCCTCGAGAGGGGAACGTGTCGCGCAGCGCAGCGCCGCGCGGGGAGGCTGCGGGGAGACCGAAGGTGGGAAATGGGGCCCTCAGGACCCCGCCCCGCGCCCTCGGGACGTTTCTCTCCACTCTTTAAAAACAGATGGTTTGATTTCACAGCGAGGCTTTTCTTCTTTTTCTTTTTGCAGGCAACATGACTGAAATGTGAACGTTTCTACTAAAATACACTCAGGAAAAAGTACAATGTATGTCAAACAGCTCTTAGGCACGTACCAGGAGGCATTTTTCCTTCTCCCTTTCCCCTTCCCATTTGCGTTCCTCTGGCAAGAGCGACGCCTGGCGATGGGGCGATGGGGCCGGCCGTGCCCTGCCCGGCTCCGGTCCTGCGCGCGAGGCCCACCTCCCAGCCGGTGGAAGCCGCAGCTTCCAGAAAAACAGAAGCATGTGAAGATTCTACTGTTGTAAAATAGCTTGGTGTAAGACAGTTTTTCAAAAACTCTTTGTATGGTAAAAGAAGAAAACATGACATTTTCACGTATTATTTTAAATTTATGTAAACTTTTTTAGAATAGTGTTTTATAAAACCAAAAGCTAAATTTCTTCTATAAAATACCAGCAGGATCTATCCTCCCCCCAACACACACACACAAATTCTACATGCCAAGGAAGACTTGCTAGTAATTAATATTATCTCTCTTCTTTTACAGTTTGTAATGAGGCAAGTGGATTCCTTGAATGTGCCGTTTCTGCCATGCAAGTGTGGGCCAAGCCTCCCGCCCCACTCAGGAGAGGCTTGGTGGATCATCAAAGGCATCAGAGCTGAGGGTCTTTGGATGAATGAGACCTTGCTATTAAGAATCAGGCAATTTATGCGTTCATTTATCTTTACGAAGTTCTGTGCTAAAATTATCTAGGTGCTGCTCATTTTATATTATAGAAACCATTTCTACAGGCTTTAACAAACTTAGAGTGTACCACTGATTTGTTAATCTTTACTGAACTTTCAAGTTAATGGTATTGTCAGGATGACCCCTTGGAGTTCTCCAGTCACCAGAAACACGTGTGCTGTCACCCCTCGTTATACTCCCGGGACTGGTTCCAGCAGACACCGAAATCCAGGCACATTCACGTCCCACAGTGGGGCCTGTGGAATACGCAGATAGGGAAAGTTGCCCCACCCGCCGCCACTGCGTGGGTTTCACATCCTCCAGCTGCTGTGTTTTCGACCCACGTTTGAAAAATATCTGTAAGTGGACCCTTTCAAACCCGGCTGTTCAAGAGTCAGCTGTATTGTGTCAATACAATCTGACCTGCTAAATCCACTGGCTGTGCTGGTTAGTGCAAAGTAAAGCACCCCACCCAGTTCTTTACAGTCAAAAACACGTGAAGCTGTTTTTGACAAATGGCTCAGTCACTCCTTTACTTTTTGTGTAAAATGAGGTAGTTGGTCTAGTTGATCACCAGACTAAAACTACATAATACTAAGATTATTACCAAAAAAAAGTCTTAACCAGATGCAGTGTTCCCCACAAAAAGCTGAAGATAATTCAGTCATCACTATGAGTTTCATCATCTATTTTCAGGAATCATTTAATTCCTTCCTTTAGAACGTGAACAACATTCTGCTGTCAAGGGTCCAGGAAGCCAAAAAGAAAAGAGACAAAGTTAGCAACAAACTATATTCTAGGATTACTGGAAAAAGTTTTTTTTCTAGATTTGATTTAGTTTGGTTATCTTTTTGAGAAAACTAAGTTGGATCATAAGAAGAAAACCGAGCAGAGGAAAAAAGTCTGTATTTAATCTACTCTAACAGTACTATATATGGGTCATGAGATGGGTGAGTTATTTATTTTTTTAAATTCATAAACAGGTTAAAGTTCTGTTGTTTTGACTGCAATCTTTTTTTTTCTTCACCCGGAAGGTACATATTTAATTTTAGATAAATATTAACTGCCTTCAAAGACTTTTAAAATAGGCATATACTATATGCTTTAAAAGGAATTGTTATATTTGTTCAATCATTATGTCAGTCATTTCACAATCTAACTAAGTTCGTATTGTAAAAAAAAAAATTGCTTTCATAAAGGACAGCATTGTGTAGTATAAAGAAATATTGCTTACTGTTTAATTTTCACCAATTCTATTTTTTTTAACTATCAAAATGCTATTAGTATGCTGGGGAAGTACTAGAAAGTGTTTAAAGCAGTTAGGAAGACAAGCTTTCTAACAGGATTACTTTTCCTAGCATAAATGTAATAAATATAGACTCTCAGAAGCGATAATGTATGCGTGATATCTGCCTCTTATTCTAGATCAATGAAGTTCCACATTCTATATGATGCTTCTCCCCTTCTAGGGAGGAAGGAGACTATTCCAGAAGCATGGTCACCTACCCGCTTCCCATTCTTTGACACCACTTTGCATCTGCAAATGCACACTGCTATGCATGTTCAGGAGAGAAATTAGGTGAAAGTTATATTTGAAGTGTTGGGATGAGATAGCATGACTGATAAACTTTTTTAAAAAATGTATTGTTTCATGGTCGAGATAAAGAGGACTTTTCATGGGGAAAGACTTAAAGGAAGTATGGACTTTACCTTGTTCCTTCAAACTGGATTTTAGTCGTTAAATCTAAAAACACTGTGATGCTTACTTGCCATTTGGAGGCACCAATCTGGCATCTTTTGATGGAAGTAGTGAGGATAAATTTGAATGGACACACCCGTCATCAACATATTAAGAAAAAAGACCCTCCTATTTGGTATAAAGGCTACACCAACAGTCAAACTCATCCACGACAATATGCCAACAAAATATGGTCACAGATGCTGAGTAACAACACCAGTATATCTGCATTCCATCTGTTTGCTGCAGGAAATCAAATATCCTGATCAGAAGTGACACACAACGGTCTGGGGTCATCGCAGAAACATCCAGTGTCATAAAGGCACCACCTACCAAAATGGGTCTTTGATTGTAGGATAAGCTAATCACTGGGACAGGGATGCCTCCTGGACAGAG